AGAACCTGGACCCTTTGGTCAAGATCCAGCATCAGACTTCTTGAGATGTGTCAAGAATCTGATAGATTCTTCTTCCTCCTTTATTCATGCACCTTGTTCCAGCTTTATCTGCCAGTATTCCTCGTATCCGGCTTCATGTCTTCTTCCTTTGATATATAATTTAATATTTTATATGTTAATATTACCCAAGGGGTCAGAGTTCTAGTCCTGGTAGAGTCAAGAATTTTCTTTTCTCAATGTCATCCAGACAAGCTCTGGGGCCCACCCAGCCTCCTACTCAATGGATACCAGGGGCTTTTTCCCCGGGGGTAAAGAGGTTGGGGCGTGTAACTAACAACTCACCTCCAACTAGTGCCGAGATCAAGAAAATGTGGATCTGTACATCCACTCCCCCATTCACCTTCATGGTATAGTGATTAATTAGTTATGCACACAGACAACTTTACCTTTTAACCTACGTTAATATGACATTTTTGGTCCTCAGACTTTGATTAATTACTTAGTGCTTATTCTCAGCTTTACTAATGCAATTTTCATAATGAGCCGATGGTTGCATGGTTATTACCGTACTGCCACCGGATGACCATGTAAGCCTTAGACATGTTCTATGAATATCAAGATAAGTGAATGAATGTGATAGTGTGATGATAACCATGCAGCCACTGAAACATTGGGAAAGTTGCAATAATAGGCTGAGAATGAACATTAAGTAATTTTCTGTGATATTTGCTTGTCAGGCATTATAGCTCTTTGGCATAGCTAATTTGATGTATGGCACCCCAGGTTGGGGATTGGATGCTAGGCTGATGACCTTGATCCGTAAAAGAATTGATATTGTTAAATTCAAAGTGAAAACCAGATGGTCTATTCATGAGACAAATCTGTCAGAATCTTCTAAGGAAAACAATGGCTCAAAAAGGTATGTTTGCCATTGGTGATGATAAATTTGATGTATACATTGACAATATTTATTAAATTATTATTATTTTAAAGGGCGCACCTGGTCTGAAAAAAATATATAAAGGTTAGTACCTCACCTTTCAGAAACCAACCGTATGTCTATTATCAAGTTAATTCAGTTAGCCATGTAAGGAAAATTATTTAATTGTATTCTGAAAGCTAACTGAAACTAACAAACAGTCTCTTTGTTCAAAATGTCAAAGATCTTAATGTTAAACCAGTGACAGTTATGATTACTGAGTCCTGTTGTAGGGTTAACTGATTCTATTACATCCTATTCTGTTCACATATCTTCATTCCTCAGTTTGCCTATTTCATGTTCCTGAACTGTTCTTGGAACCCTCTTTCCTCCACCTTGTATTTTAGAATACTTACAGCTGAAATAGATCTGTTCTACATCAACTCAATACACTGCCAATCAAATTTTCACATTTCCTCAATAATACATATGAAACAATTTATCTTTGACTAAATCAGATAAGTTGTTCACCAAAAATGCCAGTGAAAAAATGTAACATGCACTTGCCTTCTTAATAATCCCTATTCTTTTGTATGCAAGACATGAACTTACACACTGATAATTAAACACTTTGAAATGATGACATTGGAAATAGAATGAAATTTATTTGCCAATAAAACATAATTTTCTCACATCTGAAAAAAAATTATGAGAATACTGAAATAACTAACTAACTCCATGGAGCTCAGCCCTTCTTGAGAAGCCGCTATTTGTGCAGCTACTCAAGAATTTCCCAACATTTTATGAAACCCAAAGGTTCATTTCTAAGTTCACAAGAGCCCTGCACTGGTCTCTATCCTGAGCCAGAACAATCCAGTCCATACCACCCGATCCTCTCTCTCTAGGATCCATTTTAATATTATCCTCCCACCTATACCCTGGTCTTCTGAGTGGTCCCTTTCCTTCTTGCTTTCCCATCAATATCCTATATGCATTCCTCTTCTCCCCCATTCATGCTACATGCCATCTCCATCGCATCCTCCTTGACTTGATCTTTCTAATCAGAATTGGCGAAGAGTACAAGTTATGAAGCTGCTCAATATACAGTCCTCTCCAACCTCCCATCACTTCATCCCTCTTTAGTCTGAACATCCTCCTCAGCGACCTGTTCCCAAACACCCTCTGTCTATGTTCCTTACAGAATGTCAGGGAAAATGGTAGTTTTTTTATTTCAGTCTTTACATGCTTAGACAGCAGATGAGGAAACAAAATATTTTGGACTGAATGGTAGCAAGCATTACCCAAATTTAGTCTCCTCTTAATTTCCTCCTGAATCAAATTTTATTTATTAACATATGAAGTTTGAAAACATGAAAGTGAAGAAAATGCTGTGTTTTGATTCAAGATTCAAAATTTTGATTTGACAGATAATTGTGTCCAGATGTGGAATCAGCATATCAGAATTAAATCGAAAGGTAATTTTTCTTTTATGTTAGCATAACACTCCTGACTAATGTTATTAGAATGTTGGTAGGCTGGACACTCAGGATATGACGACCAGCAGAAATAGGGACCTCTTTATTTGCCATACTTTACTGATGGCTCTGACTCCTGTCAAGTGGGAACTAGGAACCTTTTCTTGGTAATAAAGTGACTAGAAGTTGAAGCTGATCGAATGCCTTCACTTCCATCATGTTATATTTTAGCGTCCTGTCGCTCTGATTTATGTCCATGATTTATTCCAACCGTCTTACAGTGCATACACTCATCCACCTCACTCTTCTCTCCTGCACTACATGTTTCAGCACAAAAGTGCCATCTTCAGATGCTTTTCGATTTACATCAAGTAAATGCAGTGAAGTAGTTTGACGTAAATCGAAAAGCACATGAAGATGGCACTTTTGTGCTGAAACATCTAGTGCAGGAGAGAAGAGTGAGGTGGATGAGTGTATACACTGTAAGACGGTTGGAATAAATCATGGACATTCACTTCCATCTATTAATGAGGATGAGAATGCCCAATTAATGCCTTCAGGGTTTGGTGCTCAAGCAGAGAGGTAACCATTACTAATATCTACAATAATATGAAGCAAAGAAGGGATTTTCCGAAGGGTACTGTCCTCTGGATTGTGATGCCATATGATCTGGTAGAAGTTTAATAATGCTTTGTGCTCACAGTGCTTGCTGCTTCACTGGCATATGTTCCTCTTAAACCTCACTAAATTTCTACAAGATACATGGCATCACACCCCAGAAGATGGTACCTCTCACAGTCACCACTGTGAAGGATCCGTTTTCACCCTCTCCCATGGCCAGTGAAGAACATAAAAGGTAAAGCTATATCTGTAACAGACCGTGAAGGTCCTTAGGTTTGGTTTTGGGAGGCTGAGCTTCCTACATATTCTAGACAATTGGCTCACAGATGGCGGTGAAATTGTCAGTCCTGGATGCCCTTTACCCCAGTAAGATTCCTGGTACTCCTTTCTGTTAGAGACTGAGTCGACTCCAGGGCCATAGTGTGGCTGGTTGTAAAGGCCAATTGAGAATCCATAGTACTATTGAAACCTCATGCAAAATATAATGCATTAACTTGTAATGCATATAGTATATTCAAACATATGGTGTCCTATGAAAAGCAGTATTCTTTACTTGTTCACCTTTGTCTATAATTACAAAACTGAAGTAATATTTAATTATAAGAATTTGGATTTGAGATCCTCACTGCAGTGACTGTGATGAGTGCAATATTCTGGATTGCAACGTCATATAGTTTGGAGAAAGCATGGTGTTTCAGAGGAATATACGGCCTTAGTGTTCATGGTTGATGAGTCAGCTGAAAAAGAAATCAGCAGTAGGAAGTGGAAATACCATCACCTGCTCATATTTGTACCTTTCCTGGTTTACATTTCAGCTCTGAAGCTGGAGGCTATATGTCCCTGCATATAGCTGGACTGTCTCTGAACTACATGGCATTGCAACCCAGAAGATTGTACTCTTTACTGAAGTTTAATTATCAGAATATTTTTTCTTTCAATTAATGTTTAAAAAAAAATATTACTTCATCATTGTCATCGTCCTCCTCCTCCTCCTCNTTATTATTCTGATGCATTGAATTCACTTGGTTTTATATGCCAGAATGTTGCTCAATATGGATTGTTTTGAATTTGTTTAATAGATCTTCTTTTCTGTTATAGTCCAACAAAATGTTTGCTGGTGTTCATCTAAGAGATTTAATTTCAGCAATTGCAATTCTATTCTATTCTGCATTCTTTTCTATTGCTGCCTATGTAATTGCTCATAAAAGTTGCGGTATATTTTTCCCATTGGGTGGCCAGTCAGAATAATATGATATGGTGCCCTCAAACAAGTCAGCTAGAAAAACTTTAAATATAAACTGCATGTCAGAGAGGAAAAACGAACATATTAAAACTGCTTTTTAAAATCACAGTCCTTTGGAATGTCATGCCATGTAGATGTGGTAGGGAGGTACCGACATTACAGAAGAACATGCTGCTTCCATCTTAAGGATAGAAATGATGAGTCCAGTGCTAGAGATTTACTCTTTTGAATGGGTTCAACTGAGCGGGAATCTTCAGCCCTTTGACAAGATTTAATTCATTTTATTAGCCCTTAAATCTTCATATCTCACATGACTAGGAACAGTTCATTCCTTTTACCTGATGGTGGAAAGAGACCAAAGTTCCAAAACACTGTGTCTGCAGTAATTGGGGAGAATGAGCAATGCTCAAAGTGACAGTCACTTCTATTGTAACACACCATCATCAGAAACATTTACTGTTAATGAAGTTAAACTTTCATACTTGATTTTACATTTTTGTCACAGTCACTGAACAAAATGGTCTCCATTTAGTGGCAACATATTATCAAAAACAGGTCAGCTATAATGTTGCTGATAAAAAGATGACTATTTGATAGACTGGACTATAGCTAAGCTTGAACAAACATGTTGAGGAATCATGCAAAGTTAAGTGGATGCAATAACTGCATAAAAAAAGCAAGTACTTGTGCTTTATCTGTAGTATATGTGATAATGTATGGTATATAAGGACAAGGTATTCCATGTGTCAGACAGTCATCTGATCTTCCTTCACTGAGAAGCATCAGGAGTTCAAGGTAAGAACATGCAGTACTAATCAAAGGCAACTGAAGTGTGCCACAAATGCATTAATTTCATTTATATAGATTAATTTAAAATGTAACATAACTTTTAAAAACAGTATAATTATGTTTATGAGTGATAGTTCAGTAGTGCTGTTTATTGTTCATTAATATTGTGTATTTCCAGTATTAATTTCTACTATAATCACATAAGACGTGAAATTCTCATGGAGGAGTGTATTAAGATTACGATATTCCAGGCTTTGATGGCTTGTAATTTAGCAGATAGATATAGACGGTGATTTTAGTTCTGGCTCTGTGTTTTGCATGAGAAGTATGCAAGTATTAGCATGGTAGTGGTTAATTTGCATTGAGGATGGGGGGGAGATGACACAATATTACTAAGCCCCTGTTAAAAGCCATACACACACTATGATCCGTATCCCAGTTAGTGGAGATGATCTGATCTGCTGCACACCTTGCTGAGAATAACGGGGTCAAAAAAGAACATGGGTAGCATTAAAGTTTCGAGGGAAGCCTCCTTCTTAAGTTTAGATGACCATTAATATTGATGGCAGCAGATGATTTTACTGGATTTCTGAACTTTGTCCATAATCTGGCACAACCAATACAACAGAATTCAGACAAGAAGCCTGTTGCCATTTGGAGGTGGCAACAGATTCATTTGCCAGAGTAAGGTACCTACTCACTTCAGCCACTTATAACCAGCTAGCATCGCTCAGTAAGCTCATAAATCCAGCGTTTAAGTCCATAAATGCAGCTAGTATCAGGATATACCAATGAAATATAATAAGAAATCTTTTCATAAAAATGGTGGGAATATATTAAGATCTAGAATTGGTACAGGAAGGGAAGTTTTTAAATGGCCCATCTCTCTTAACCAAAATCTCAAACAGTAACACAATTTCACAAGAAACTCAGTAGGTTCCTCCAAAATATTGAAACTTTTCTACCAAATTACAAAGCACTACATCCCAGAAGACACTGATCTTAAAATCAAAAATTAATTTTATCAGACCAGGGTACTCTCAAGCAAATAGATGTAGATAATGTAATGTTTGGAGAATCAATACAAAAATAATTTTCTATTAACTAACTAAAATTAAATAACGTATTTTTGAATATCTAATGAAGAGATTCTACATAATCTCTTTACTAAATGAATGAATTATTTTGTTTCTGCAGATGAAACTTCCAATTGTGTTTTTAGCAGTTCTTGGCCTGGCATGTGGTAAGTAACAACGATGTTATGTAAACAGACTACTGACACAAATATTTCTTTGATCACAGAGTGTTATAATTACATGATTGATTCTCATTTATAGGCAAGTCCTTGCCGACTCGTAACCTCAACGATGACCTCAACGACTTCCTGGCACTTGTACCACTTGATGAAGTTCTCGGCATTGTTCTGGACTACCTTGCCAATGACCAAGAAGTACAAGAACTTATTCTTTACCTTCAGTCTGAGGAATTCCACAAAATTGTTATAACAGTTGAAGAACTGGACGAGTTCAAACTAGTGAGTATCATTGCGCATACATGCATTTCACAAGTCTACACGCAACACAGAAAGTGATCCATTGAAATCTGACTGGTGACTGCATCTGTCCATTCTAGCTTATTAAAATCCCTGAAGAACTCGGCATTGATGTCAATTCAATCATCAATTTGATCCATGAAATCATTGGCCTGCCTCCATATGCAGCAAGAAAGAACACTCGACGGGGTGTAGGACTCAACGGTCTCATTGATGATTTGATTGCAATCCTTCCAATCGATGACCTGAAGGCCCTTTTTGAGAAGAAACAACAGACCAGCCCAGACTTCAAGGCTCTGATTGATGCCATTCAGTCACCTGAATTTAAGGTAAATATCCAGGTTCTGAATCTTGTCTTACAAGTGTTGATGGAGTCTCAGCTTACAGTACGAACTTAGTTCTATTAGACCATGTATGTGACAGATGTTTCTCTTTGTCTCACAGAGCATTCTAGACAAGTTGGAATCCCTTCCAGAGTTCCAGAAACTGCTGCAGAATCTGCGAGACAAGGGAGTTGATGTGGACCACATCATTGAGTTCTTGAAGGCCCTCTTTGGACTATCTCGGCGGGGTAAATTTTGATTCATCTACCAAGTAGAAATTTGAAAGAATATCCCCATGTTCTATTTTTAGCCATATGCATATTCTCTAATTGTGACTGGAACATTGAAAATGTCACATTTTGTAGGGAATTTCCACAATTTCATGAAGATTAATTTGCAATGCATACAGATCAATATTGACAATTCTCTTCTGGTTACTTCAATTCAGTTTTATATTTTAGGCAACAGAGCAGTCCACAATTAATTCACAAGTGTACAGAAGAAATTTGAAACAAAATGCTAATAATAACATAAAATGAAATATGAATATCCTTATATCATTAGAAAAATATCCTATGTATATAATATTGCTATGAAATATTCTTTAGGAATTGCAAATTGTGTGAACTGGATTGAACTGGCCCAGTGTTAGTGCAGTGGTACTATTTTGCTATTATATGTTGCGATGCTTATTTCATGTAAGAAGAATTTTCATGAATACCTGAGTAAATATAATCTACTCTACAAACACCTAACATTAAGAAGCTGGTCAAATAGTTGCAGGAATTGACAATGGCTACTGCTCTTTACACATGTTTATTTAATGACACTGTCTGTAGCTGTGACAGCACAGCATCAGGCTTAGGATGTGTAGTGAATGATGATTAGAGAGAATGGGATGGAAGCAGTAACTTCTTATGAAATAAGAGGTGCTGCTGTCGCTTTTGGCAAAACAGGATGCCCAGTCCCAATTCTGCATACGTTCCACTGCCCTCTATTACGGTCATCCTGTGCATACAATTCAGCAGAATAACAAGAACTAGAATGTTATAGGTCAGATTTCAGAAGTAGAGAAATATGTTAAAAAAAGTAAAGTGCAAAGTTATTTCTGTAACAGGCCATGATGGCCCATAGGGTTGTGAAATGTCAAGGATCCCACATTTTCTGCAGACACTCGACTCACAGATGGCGGTAAGGTTGTCAGCCTTAAGCTCCAGCTGCCCTTTATGCTCCAGGAAGGCCCTAGTACTCATTTCTATTAGAGGTTGAGTCGACCCCAGGGCCAAGTGTGCTTAGAATGATTAGGTACATTAAAAAATTCACCTCATCAGAACTCTGAACCTGTGACCTTCTTGCTAGCAGCATAGTGCTTCAACCAACTACGCTACTGGTAACTAAAACTAAATCAATTTTCAACACGTGTAAACTTTCTACCTGCCTGCTGTAAGACAATCAGAATAATACCTCAAACTTAAGTTTGTAAACAAATTATCTGGCTACCTCTCCTCTGAATAAATCTAGTAGTTCCCTTGTACAAATATTACACACACACACACACACACACACACCCAAACACAAGATCATAATTCCTAGAAAGCAAATAAAGTAAGAGGAGACTCGTGGTGCTTCTGACACAGGAACACGCAGCCTCAAAGATGACCTGAAAGATCTCCTGGACGTCATACCACATAAAGAAATTGGTGTCATTGTCTTGGACTATGTTCTCCATGACAGAGAAGTGAGCGACCTTGCTATTCACGTCCAGTCCCCTGAATTCCGGCAACTGGTTGAAGCAGTTGTAAACTCAGACGAGTTGAAAGACGTGAGTATCTTTTTTGAATGGGCTTCACAGACATTAATCTGATGCAGAGTGTATTTTGTTAAGTTCTGACTGGCAACTGTATTCCTGTTTTCTAGATCATCGCACACCTCAGAGACCAAGGCGTTGTAGTCATCAGCCAAGTCAATGAACTGCTTGGCTTTCCTGCACTCTCTCTGGGAGACAAGGCCACTCGAAGGGGTGAAGGAGTCAAGGGCCTTGTTGATGATGTGATTAAAGTTCTTCCTGTTGAAAGGCTGAAGGAAATTTTTAGAGATAAATTGCTCAACAGTGCTGATTTCAGGAGGCTGATTGATGTCATTCTATCACCTGACTTTAAGGTAACTATCCAGCATCTGAATCTTGTCTTTACAAATGTTGACAGATTCCGTGATTACAGTATGAACATCCTTTTGTTAGACCTTGTATTTGACAAAATGTTTATCGTTCTTCTCACAGGAACTTGTACGTAGACTGAAAGCCACATCAGAGTTCAAGGAACTGGAAGATGATCTACGAAACAGGGGAGTTGATCGGGATTACATCATTCAACGCTTGAAAGAGGCCTTTGGACTATCTCAGCGAGGTAAAAAACTTTTTTGTCTCTATAAGCTGGATATTAAAGAATTCCCCTTTTTTTATATCTAGCTGTGTACAAATTTTCTAACTCTGAGTACTCATCATATCTGTTGACAGTACAACACTTTTTGAGTCATAGCCTTCCGTAGATAATTCTAGCAGATCGCATCTGATTTTCACTTCTTTGGATTTCATGACAATCTTTTACAAAGCAATGTCATCAGCCTTTCATCCAACTCCTAACCTGGAGGACCAGATCCATATATTTATATTCCACAGAGACAGGGTTTCCCAGTTCTACCCCCGAGCACTGGGTTTCCTGTCTGTCGCCTTCTACAGCTCGCAGGGCTGCAATGGATGTATCTTAACCTGCCTCCACACAGGGAACTATGAATACTCTATTGATAAATCATCCAGCCTTCAGAGCTCTCATATCTTTGATGCACACTAATAAGTTAGGCACAGACATGAATTTGAATCCGGAAACTGAGAGCTCTGAGTTATTCCAGTTTGATGTGATGTTCATTTGGATACTGAAATCTCCATACCTTCTATTCAGACCTATGCTTCAGGCAATGGAGCAGTCCACAATTATTTCACAAGTATCAACAAAATATGGTATAGGACACTCCTAATATATGATTAAAGATGAATTTCCTTGTCACTGAATAGTCCCTAAATAGTGTTACTCTGAAATGCTATATACAATCTGCAATAGAATACAATAGAAATGGCTCATTACTGATGTTGTGGTCAGTTATGTTGATTATTTAATGCAATTTTTGTTTATCTAAAGATGAATTTTCATGACTCCTTGAATAAATATGAACTTACTTATTCATGGAGCTGAGGCTTTCTGGAGGAGCTGCCAATTCTGCAGCTACTCAAGAATTTTCCCGCATTTTATGGAACCTGAAGGTTCATTACCGTGTTCACAAGAGCCCTCCAGTGGTCCCTATCCTGAGCCACATCAATCCAATCAATACCATCCCATCCTATCTCTCTAAGATCCATTTTAATATTGTCCACCCACCTATGCCTTGGTCTTCCCAGTGCTCTCTTTCCTTCTGGCTTTCCCACCAATAATCTATACGCATTCCTCGTCTCCCCCATTTGTGCTACATGCCCTGCCCACCTCATCTTTCTTGACCTGATCATTCTAATTATACTTGGAGAAGAGTACAAGCTATGAAGCTCTTCTTTATGCAGTTTTCTCCAACCTCTTGTCACTTCATCTCTCTTCGGTCCAAATATGAACTGCTGTATAAATATGCAGCACTAAGGAGTTGGTTTGTTAGATGCAGAAGTTGCTGGTACGTACCACTCTTTCCACAAGTTCCTGTTTACTTTCTTATTATGGACAGTGTTAGCATATCAGGTTACAAAGTGTGTAAAAAAATTTAGTGTGGCTTAGGGAACGACATGGGAGGAAGTGCTCATGACCTAATTTGAGACACTGGGGGGGGGGTATTAATGTAGGAGCTCTACCAAAGTGTCTGTCCCAGAGTCTGACATGCAACATCCCATAAATGAGGCATGAAAGCTAAGCGCTCAATTCCAACTTCTTATTTGATATCGAAACACAATTTTGCGAAACATGTTTTGTTAATTCGAAAAAGTGACATAATCTACTTATGAGGATACTAATATTTCATATGGTCCAGAATAGTAAATACTGTGACTGCATGATGGAGTTGGTGGTGTGAAGTAATGTACCACAATTACTGACATAGAGGCTTTTGAGAATTTCTGCAGCTGTACTTATATCACTGAAATCCAGTTTTATATATTAGGGGCCTTGAGGGACACTCAGAGATCATGAGTTCACTGAATATGCACACTGTGAACTTGATAAGTTCTGGGAATGAGAGTTACATTTGTAGTTAGATAGAGACCTTCGTAGACTAGCAATGTGGACTAGGCAGTTTTACTCTTTAGAAGTATCCCATGTGCTTCTTTTGGTTAACGTGAACACTGCAGCATGGGATTAGCACATTCCAGTGCTTTGTATAGCTGCCATCTTGTGCTTCTGTTTAAGACTGCTTGATAGAATTCACATCAGCACAATAACAAACATTATCACCATACATGCACACAAACCCATTCATTTAGGTATCATAAACATTAAAATGAAAGTAAATTCACTGGAGCCTTATGATTTCTCTGATGTAGGAACCCGTAACCTCAACGATGACCTCAATGACTTCCTGGCACTTGTACCACTTGATGAAGTTATCGCCATTGTTCTCGACTACCTTGCCAACGACCAAGAAGTACAAGAACTTATTCTTTACCTTCAGTCTGAGGAATTCCACAAAATTGTTATAACAGTTGAAGAACTGGACGAGTTCAAACTAGTGAGTATCATTGCGCATACATGCATTTCACAAGTCTACACGCAACACAGAAAGTGATCCATTCAAATCTGACTGGTGACTGCATCTGTCCATTCTAGCTTATTAAAATCCCTGAAGAACTCGGCATTGATGTCAATTCAATCATCAATTTGATCCATGAAATCATTGGCCTGCCTCCATATGCAGCAAGAAAGAACACTCGACGGGGTGTAGGACTCAACGGTCTCATTGATGATTTGATTGCAATCCTTCCAATCGATGACCTGAAGGCCCTTTTTGAGAAGAAACAACAGACCAGCCCAGACTTCAAGGCTCTGATTGATGCCATTCAGTCACCTGAATTTAAGGTAAATATCCAGGTTCTGAATCTTGTCTTACAAGTGTTGATGGAGTCTCAGCTTACAGTACGAACTTAGTTCTATTAGACCATGTATGTGACAGATGTTTCTCTTTGTCTCACAGAGCATTCTAGACAAGTTGGAATCCCTTCCAGAGTTCCAGAAACTGCTGCAGAATCTGCGAGACAAGGGAGTTGATGTGGACCACATCATTGAGCTCTTGAAGGCCCTCTTTGGACTATCTCGGCGGGGTAAATTTTGATTCATCTACCAAGTAGAAATTTAAAAGAATACCTCCATTTTCTATTTTCAGCCATATGCATATTCTCTAATTGTGACTGGAACATTGTAAAATGTCACATTTTGTAGGGAATTTCCACAATTTCATGAAGATTAATTTGCAATGCATACAGATCAATATTGACAATTCTCTTCTGGTTACTTCTGTTAAAGTCTCCCTTCCTTCAATTCAGTTTTATACTTTAGGCAACAGAGCAGTCCACAATTAATTCACAAGTGTACAGAAGAAATTTGAAACAAAATGCTAATAATAACATGAAATGAAACATGAATATGCTTACTGATATATTGGGTTTTTGGACTTTATCCATCGTCCTGGTTTTTAAGGTAACAAATAAAAACACAAATAAAGTCCAAAAACCCAATATATCAGTGTGTTATACACCATCGTCAGAATCCTATAGTAACTACATGAATATCCTTATATCATTAGAAAAATATCCTATGTATATAATATTGCTATGAAATATTCCTTAGGAATTGCACATTGTGTGAACTGGATTGAACTGGCCCATTGTTAGTGCAGTGGTATGTTTTGTTATTATCTGTTGCAATGCTTATTTTATATAAGAAGAATTTTCATGAATACCTGAATAAATACAGTCTACTCTACAAACAGCACAGCATCAGGCTTAGGATGTGTAGTGAATGATGATTAGAAAGAATGGGATGGAAGCAGTAACTGCTTATGAAATAAGAGGTGCTGCTGTCGCTTTTGGCAAAACAGGATGCCCAGTCCCAATTCTGCATATGTTCCACTGCCCTCTATTACTGTCATTCTCTGTTTACAATTCAGCAGAATAACAAGAACTAGAATGTTATAGGTCAGATTTCAGAAGTAGAGAAATATGTTAAAAAAAGTAAAGTGCAAAGTTATTTCTGTAACAGGCCATGATGGCCCATAGGGTTGTGAAATGTCAAGGATCCCACATTTTCTGCAGACAGTCGACTCACAGATGGCGGTAAGGTTGTCAGCCTTAAGCTCCAGCTGCCCTTTATGCTCCAGGAAGGCCCTAGTACTCATTTCTATTAGAGGTTGAGTCGACCCCAGGGCCAAGTGTGCTTAGAATGATTAGGTACATTAAAAAATTCACCTCATCAGAACTCTGAACCTGTGACCTTCTTGCTAGCAGCATAGTGCTTCAACCAACTACGCTACTGGTAACTAAAACTAAATCAATTTTCAACACGTGTAAACTTTCTACCTGCCTGCTGTAAGACAATCAGAATAATACCTCAAACTTAAGTTTGTAAACAAATTATCTGGCTACCTCTCCTCTGAATAAATCTAGTAGTTCCCTTGTACAAATATTACACACACACACACACACACACACACCCAAACACAAGATCATAATTCCTAGAAAGCAAATAAAGTAAGAGGAGACTCGTGGTGCTTCTGACACAGGAACACGCAGCCTCAAAGATGACCTGAAAGATCTCCTGGACGTCATACCACATAAAGAAATTGGTGTCATTGTCTTGGACTATGTTCTCCATGACAGAGAAGTGAGCGACCTTGCTATTCACGTCCAGTCCCCTGAATTCCGGCAACTGGTTGAAGCAGTTGTAAACTCAGACGAGTTGAAAGACGTGAGTATCTTTTTTGAATGGGCTTCACAGACATTAATCTGATGCAGAGTGTATTTTGTTAAGTTCTGACTGGCAACTGTATTCCTGTTTTCTAGATCATCGCACACCTCAGAGACCAAGGCGTTGTAGTCATCAGCCAAGTCAATGAACTGCTTGGCTTTCCTGCACTCTCTCTGGGAGACAAGGCCACTCGAAGGGGTGAAGGAGTCAAGGGCCTTGTTGATGATGTGATTAAAGTTCTTCCTGTTGAAAGGCTGAAGGAAATTTTTAGAGATAAATTGCTCAACAGTGCTGATTTCAGGAGGCTGATTGATGTCATTCTATCACCTGACTTTAAGGTAACTATCCAGCATCTGAATCTTGTCTTTACAAATGTTGACAGATTCCGTGATTACAGTATGAACATCCTTTTGTTAGACCTTGTATTTGACAAAATGTTTATCGTTCTTCTCACAGGAACTTGTACGTAGACTGAAAGCCACATCAGAGTTCAAGGAACTGGAAGATGATCTACGAAACAGGGGAGTTGATCGGGATTACATCATTCAACGCTTGAAAGAGGCCTTTGGACTATCTCAGCGAGGTAAAAAACTTTTTTGTCTCTATAAGCTGGATATTAAAGAATTCCCCTTTTTTTATATCTAGCTGTGTACAAATTTTCTAACTCTGAGTACTCATCATATCTGTTGACAGTACAACACTTTTTGAGTCATAGCCTTCCGTAGATAATTCTAGCAGATCGCATCTGATTTTCACTTCTTTGGATTTCATGACAATCTTTTACAAAGCAATGTCATCAGCCTTTCATCCAACTCCTAACCTGGAGGACCAGATCCATATATTTATATTCCACAGAGACAGGGTTTCCCAGTTCTACCCCCGAGCACTGGGTTTCCTGTCTGTCGCCTTCTACAGCTCGCAGGGCTGCAATGGATGTATCTTAACCTGCCTCCACACAGGGAACTATGAATACTCTATTGATAAATCATCCAGCCTTCAGAGCTCTCATATCTTTGATGCACACTAATAAGTTAGGCACAGACATGAATTTGAATCCGGAAACTGAGAGCTCTGAGTTATTCCAGTTTGATGTGATGTTCATTTGGATACTGAAATCTCCATACCTTCTATTCAGACCTATGCTTCAGGCAATGGAGCAGTCCACAATTATTTCACAAGTATCAACAAAATATGGTATAGGACACTCCTAATATATGATTAAAGATGAATTTCCTTGTCACTGAATAGTCCCTAAATAGTGTTACTCTGAAATGCTATATACAATCTGCAATAGAATACAATAGAAATGGCTCATTACTGATGTTGTGGTCAGTTATGTTGATTATTTAATGCAATTTTTGTTTATCTAAAGATGAATTTTCATGACTCCTTGAATAAATATGAACTTACTTATTCATGGAGCTGAGGCTTTCTGGAGGAGCTGCCAATTCTGCAGCTACTCAAGAATTTTCCCGCATTTTATGGAACCTGAAGGTTCATTACCGTGTTCACAAGAGCCCTCCAGTGGTCCCTATCCTGAGCCACATCAATCCAATCAATACCATCCCATCCTATCTCTCTAAGATCCATTTTAATATTGTCCACCCACCTATGCCTTGGTCTTCCCAGTGCTCTCTTTCCTTCTGGCTTTCCCACCAATAATCTATACGCATTCCTCGTCTCCCCCATTTGTGCTACATGCCCTGCCCACCTCATCTTTCTTGACCTGATCATTCTAATTATACTTGGAGAAGAGTACAAGCTATGAAGCTCTTCTTTATGCAGTTTTCTCCAACCTCTTGTCACTTCATCTCTCTTCGGTCCAAATATGAACTGCTGTATAAATATGCAGCACTAAGGAGTTGGTTTGTTAGATGCAGAAGTTGCTGGTACGTACCACTCTTTCCACAAGTTCCTGTTTACTTTCTTATTATGGACAGTGTTAGCATATCAGGTTACAAAGTGTGTAAAAAAATTTAGTGTGGCTTAGGGAACGACATGGGAGGAAGTGCTCATGACCTAATTTGAGACACTGGGGGGGGGGTATTAATGTAGGAGCTCTACCAAAGTGTCTGTCCCAGAGTCTGACATGCAACATCCCATAAATGAGGCATGAAAGCTAAGCGCTCAATTCCAACTTCTTATTTGATATCGAAACACAATTTTGCGAAACATGTTTTGTTAATTCGAAAAAGTGACATAATCTACTTATGAGGATACTAATATTTCATATGGTCCAGAATAGTAAATACTGTGACTGCATGATGGAGTTGGTGGTGTGAAGTAATGTACCACAATTACTGACATAGAGGCTTTTGAGAATTTCTGCAGCTGTACTTATATCACTGAAATCCAGTTTTATATATTAGGGGCCTTGAGGGACACTCAGAGATCATGAGTTCACTGAATATGCACACTGTGAACTTGATAAGTTCTGGGAATGAGAGTTACATTTGTAGTTAGATAGAGACCTTCGTAGACTAGCAATGTGGACTAGGCAGTTTTACTCTTTAGAAGTATCCCATGTGCTTCTTTTGGTTAACGTGAACACTGCAGCATGGGATTAGCACATTCCAGTGCTTTGTATAGCTGCCATCTTGTGCTTCTGTTTAAGACTGCTTGATAGAATTCACATCAGCACAATAACAAACATTATCACCATACATGCACACAAACCCATTCATTTAGGTATCATAAACATTAAAATGAAAGTAAATTCACTGGAGCCTTATGATTTCTCTGATGTAGGAACCCGTAACCTCAACGATGACCTCAATGACTTCCTGGCACTTGTACCACTTGATGAAGTTATCGCCATTGTTCTCGACTACCTTGCCAACGACCAAGAAGTACAAGAACTTATTCTTTACCTTCAGTCTGAGGAATTCCACAAAATTGTTATAACAGTTGAAGAACTGGACGAGTTCAAACTAGTGAGTATCATTGCGCATACATGCATTTCACAAGTCTACACGCAACACAGAAAGTGATCCATTCAAATCTGACTGGTGACTGCATCTGTCCATTCTAGCTTATTAAAATCCCTGAAGAACTCGGCATTGATGTCAATTCAATCATCAATTTGATCCATGAAATCATTGGCCTGCCTCCATATGCAGCAAGAAAGAACACTCGACGGGGTGTAGGACTCAACGGTCTCATTGATGATTTGATTGCAATCCTTCCAATCGATGACCTGAAGGCCCTTTTTGAGAAGAAACAACAGACCAGCCCAGACTTCAAGGCTCTGATTGATGCCATTCAGTCACCTGAATTTAAGGTAAATATCCAGGTTCTGAATCTTGTCTTACAAGTGTTGATGGAGTCTCAGCTTACAGTACGAACTTAGTTCTATTAGACCATGTATGTGACAGATGTTTCTCTTTGTCTCACAGAGCATTCTAGACAAGTTGGAATCCCTTCCAGAGTTCCAGAAACTGCTGCAGAATCTGCGAGACAAGGGAGTTGATGTGGACCACATCATTGAGCTCTTGAAGGCCCTCTTTGGACTATCTCGCCATTAGCAAAAGACTGCATGACTCTTGACAACAAATTAAAATATTAATTTGATTTCTTATCTGTGAGACAACATGGCAATGTATATGTAAAACAAGATAATAGCTGTTTCTTTTTTATGTGTTAATAAAATGCATACAATTATAAATAAAAATCGATGACTTATCTCAATCTTGAATTCTGTTTTTTGGTATTCAAGTTCATTCCTGTCATCCATCAGCATATTCAAAATGCCAGTGATTCCTGTTCTATCATTATGTATGTTGGTTAGTTGTGAGAGATGGTAATACAGATATAGAGGGTGTAAATAAATATATGTTACAATGCCCTGTGGTAGATAGATGGGTTCAATCTGATCATATTTTAATACACTCATGTCCAGAAACGCTTTGTTTACACACTAGGGACTCTGAAATGTGAAGGAAAGTGCCCTTATCAATTACCTCTGCGGCTTACTGGTGACATTTACCAAGCATATCTCCAAGAGACCTTATCAAGCTGCTGGAAGTGGTGCCTTTGGAAGTCTGTTGTGAAATGTGGTTCCAGCTTGATGGTGCCCAGGCAACTGTGAGTATTTGGATGAAACCTTTAGCAACAGAGGAATTCGATGTGGAGGCCCAATAACCTGGCCTTCTTGCTCCCCTGACTTGACTCCTTTGGATTTCTTTCTCCGGGGTACATGCAAAGCCTGGTGTATGCGACTCCAGTGGGCACACATTATATTGTGGCAAGAATTGCAGTAGCAGCTGGAACCATCCGGGAATCTTTCAAAGAGTTCAGCATAACATAGCCAGGCTCTGTAGAACATGCAGTGTATTGTATTGTATTTATTACATGTTCCAGCACATCCATACAAGGCCGAAACCATTGGATACAGAACCTATCACACCACAAGCTAGCTAAATCAGCAAGTAGCCAACAAAACAATGCATATAAATCCACAACAATAAATCAAGCATATGAAACCCTACACATCACTGCAACTACAAAACCTACCATGTGCATATAAAATATAATAAAAAAATTGGAACATATATATGACAATAGAGCAAATGAAGTCAGGGGCTGCCACTTTGAGCAACTTTTAGAAGTAAAACAATGATAGCATCCCCTAAAACTTCTGCATCCTCTCGGAAAATGTTGTGACCCTTCCTGCAAAAAGGAAGCTTTCCTGGACATGGGTGTATTAACAAAATATGATCAGATTGAAGCCATTTATCTACCACAGTGTTGAAACATATATTTATTTACACCCTGTATAATCAAAATATGTCAGGAATTGCAGTACGAGTTACTTATGCTTCTGCCTCTCAATATCAGCACATCTTATTCAGTCAAACTGTCTTTCCAGAACTTCCGAAGCTCATAGTGTGCATATTCGTTGACAGAATTTCAAAGCATCCATCAAGGGCTATAATGTGTAGAAGTGGATCATTGGGAAGGTTACTTGTGGGAGCTATAGGCAGAGATGGGATTCATGAAATTCTTTCCTTTAAATTTCAGCTGCAAGGCCCCATGAAAGATCTAAGGTTCTCACAGCAGTGACTATGAAGAATTCTGTTGTCTGGGATACAGTGCTGTGTAGTCTGTTGAAAATCAAATAATGTTTTGGAGGAACATGTTGCCCCCATCTTCAGCTTTGCTTGCTACCTGCTTCATGGTGGTTTCCTGTTTGACTTAATCTTTGACCCTGAATATGCAGGTGACATATTCCTCTGAAATGTCAGCTTATTCATTGGACTATATGGTGTTATACCCCAGAAGAGAGAACTCTGTCTCTAAGTGGCTGATAACAAGCTACCAGATGACATTCCAGAAGAACCTTCATACAACTCTTCCTTCCACAACACAGGATCTGGAATGCCCCTTGCCTTTCTTCCAAATTCTATTATCAATTTCATAATCATTTCCAGCTTGAAGACATATCCCCTGTGCTTAACTAATTAAGCACTACACCATGAAAGTGTATGGGGCAGTGGATGTATATATATCCACCATTTTCTTGACCTTGGCACTAGTTTGAGGTGAGCAGTTAGCTTCGCACCCCTGTCGCTTTACCCCCAGGGATAGAGCCCCTGGTACTCATTGGATAGGAGGCTGGGTGGGCCCCAGAGCCAGTCTGGATTATGTGGAGAACAGAAAATTCTTGACCCTACCGGGACTCAATCTCCAACCCATCAGGTACCGACTGTGCTATCCTGGCTCCTTGATTTATACAATATATTTATGTATTATGAAAAATGTAGTGGGTATACAATATTGCATATATGAATATTGTTTTTCTTTTCATGTTCTGCAAGACACTTGTGGTTCATTGCACCAGAGAGAATTCCCAGAGAACATGTAGTTTCTTGTGCATAAATATGGAATGTTACATAGCATTACACAAAATTCCCCACATGTCGTTTTGCAGTTTTATTGAGGTTATTACATTGTGAATTAAATCCTATTAATAGTTTATTATAGACAAGGAAAAGTCAGCAGACTTTACTGGTGAACAGGGCTGAAAATTGGAATTGCCCAACAGTTCTTAGTGAAGACGAGCCATTAATCAAGGCTAACTTTTGCACCCTCACTTCACCATCCCTGTATTAAATTCACACTTCAAAGGCTATTTGTCTCTTAGTATTTATTTAACAATACATGTTTCTGCCTAACTGTGGGACATGCTGCAAGCTGGAAGGTCGGGGTTCTATTCTCAATGAGGTCACTGGATTTTTCAATTTACCTAATACTTCCAGCTGCACTATGGCCCTGGGGTTGACTCAGCCTCTAACAGAAATGCGTATCAGGAATATTCTTGGGGGTAAAGGGCGGCCAGCGTGTAAGGCTGACAACCTTGCCGCCATCTATGAGCCAATTGTCTAGAAAATGTTGGAACCTAAACAACTCTCAACCCTATGGGCCTCCACGGGATACCTTTACTTTTAGCCTCACTGGCCATCATCACGTGTATAAGATTGTGGATGAAACCTGCTGCTCTGTTGTTAGAGCTACACATAGTACAAAGGGAAGAAACCAGCACACCAGATCCACAACTAAAGTAACCACAGCATGATAGTATTAAAATAAGTTAAAAGCATTTTACATTACTTGAAAAATGCAAAATGCAACAGCATCACAGAACAACAGTCTTCATCTACAATCTTATACACCTAATGATGGCCACTGAGGCTGAAACATGTAGCGTTAAATAAATAATAAGAGACAAAGTGCCTTTGAAGTGTGAATTTTAATACAGGGATGGTGAAGTGAATTCTAAAATTGGAATACACAGTGCAACAGGATGCTGTAATACAATAATAATCAAGGCTAAGAATGAGCCATGATCTATCTTCCAGAGCACTCTCAGCCTTTTGCATTTTGCCACGCGCACGCACGCACACACACACACACATAAACACTATAGTTATACAGTAGTAAAGACAAGGCTTCTTTTTCCCCTAGAAATATCCTCCACAGTTATGTACATCTTCACACTATTTAAACTATTAATGGATGTAATAAAGAACTTCACATTCAGTATATAAAAAATAGTTCTGTCATCAGGAATATTATTACAAGAAATCATGAACAAGTTTTTGTGGTTTAATTAGTTACTATTTTCAAAATATCACATCCCGCCCACCTCACTGTCGAGCTCCACCTCCGGGATGCATCCCACTGTTCTGAGAACCCTTATTCCAGAAGGGACTCTCACAAGTACTTACTTCATACACATGTTACTTTCAGCAAGATGGAGCCTCACAGAACTGCCACAAGAGCGTGTGAAGTTCTTTAAACGGGTTTACACAAGTCAATGTAATGGAGGATACAGGATCTGTACCAATTCCATGTCCCAAATATTTACATGGAGAGGACTCACGAGTGGTTGGATATAGAGCAGAGGTGGGGGGGGGGGGGATTGGGCCAGGGGAAGGAANATCAGAGCTAGTTCCACAACTCAGCTCATTTCTATCTTGAATGTTGGTAGCCACAAACCAGACTACACAGTGCCATAATCCGGAGAAGAGTCAAAATACAGCCACTGACAAGAAGCCATTAACTTATCATCTGCTGGGGAGACAGATGAAAGCTTTCAAAATGTGAAGCATGTAACAGTAAAGAAAAAAGTTAATTGTCCTGACAGAAATTAGATCATGCTTGACCAGCCTGTATATTGTACATAGTATATATGAGACAGAGAACTTATACAAACCTCATGGTCTGCATACAACATTCAGACCTCATTATGGTCAATGAACATTATCTGAAATATTCTGTCAGTGTGACAAAGAATTAACTGAATAGAAGACAAAATAATTTCAGACTTCATGCAATGTGGTTATGTTCATACCTTCAGCAAGTGAATGTTAACACAAATTAGGAATAGATTTGCAAAGAATTTGAAGATTACAGTTCATCTGCATTGTGATGTGTAATGTCAAAGATAGGTACCAATATTTCAGAGTAGCTTGACGTCTCTGTATTCGGGACAGAGATTGGAGACAGCAAGTTCCTCTACCAAACCATGCAATGTCACATTCCAGAAGACTAATAATTTTTATTATCCACTGCTGTGAGGACCTTGAATGTTGCAAAAATTTAGTTGGCAAATAAGGCGATTTGATTTCAATATGAGGAGAATATTTCCATCATTTCTACAAATTTCTGATGTCCACAGGCTCACAATCAAAACATGGCTATGGCTTTCATATTCAAAAATGACCATATCAAAAGTCTCGCAAGATGAAAAAAGAATGGCATGGTAAACATACAAATTAAAACTAATATAACAATTCTATTTTTGTTTAAAATTTCTGCTAATAGAGATCTTCAGAACACAAGTTAGCAAACATAACATAAAATTCTGACAGCTTGCTCATTTTTTAAGTGTGGAAGGAAGTGGTGTATATGAGGGGCTGAGGAGAAACATTCACAGCTCTCACAGTAAATTTCTCTGACATGCCCATTAACAATGTTCATTTTTTCAGTAATCATAAAATGTGAGGCTAAATATATATATTTTATCCACTCACTGTGTCAGTTTTCATGACAAGCAAAAGTCGTGTATTTTTAAAAGCTTTGTCAGAATATGACATCTTAGGACCCTAAATTGCCTGTGAAATATTGGCTCCCACATCAGGATTATGCATGAGTATCAGTTATGTGGAAAGAAGCCGGGATAGCGCAGTCGGTAGAGTGACTGGTTATGGGTTGGTGTTTAAGTCCCATCAAGGTCAAGAATTTTCTCTTCTCCATGTCATCCAGACTGGCTCTGGGATCCACCCATCCTATCCAAAGGGTACCATGTGTTCTTTCCCCGGGGGTAAAGTAGCTGGGGCATAAAGCTGACCACTCACCTCCAACTAGTGCTGAGGTAAAGAAAATGTGGAGCTATACATCCAGTCCCCCATACGTCTTCATGGCGTAGTTAAGCACAGGGACAACTTTACCTTTACCTATCAATTACATGGAATTAGAAGTATAAACTGGACATATGTCACTCATACATACACACAATTAGTCACAGAATGCTAAAAAATGAACTAATTTTTCTCGAGATTTAATTGATCACATTCATCGAAGCCATTTCAATGCAGTCATTCATCAAATATAAAAATTCATCGAGAGCAGAACTACAAAATATCGTCACAGCATTACTGGGGAGTGCAAGACAGGTAGCACATTAAAAATAAGAACCTTTCCAAATCAGTTGCAACTTTCTGGGACCCTGGTATATGAAAATCAAGTGAACGTGTAGTTAATAAGCCATACATTTTTAAACCGCTTTGAATGAACAGTTATAATCGATGGATGTACAAAGAAAATTCCACCAAAATAAATTTAAATCTTTTCAACCATGACAAAACACTGTTTAAAACTATTACTTTGGACTTTGTCCATTGTATGAATTCATTAATTTTTGGAATTAGTTCTATTCCTGTCTTCAGGTGAACAGGATGCGAAAGAACCTATCGAACTTCAAGGCATAACCTGTTCACCTGAAGAATAAAACAGAAGCAATTTCTGAACCACAACAGTTTATTTGAGTGATGCCCAAAATAAGAGTTTTATACAACAGTCCACTATTCTCAACCTTAAAATTTTGAAATTTTACTGATTGAAAGAAAAAACAATGTGAAACCTTATTCAAGTTCTTATTGAGCTCTTAACTGTTTGTATAAACTTACATATCCTACAAAGTAAAAGATAAATAGAATAATAACTGCATGTGCTGTGTGGGGCAAACTGCAAGCTACTGAATACATTAACTACAATACAATTTGCCAGAACAACTTATGAAATTTACCAGCATACAAGACAACAATGTGAAGCAGAAAATAACATATTATTTACAATTATGGTCTCTGCAATAACAGGAAACGTGGGTCTGTGCCGCTGTTTGTAAAGGAATGCTCAGCATTCAGATCTGCAAGACAGTAAAATTAAGTTAAAGCTTTAAAATTATCTAAAATTGGAATTCTGAACAAATTAAAATACATCTAAATCACTGACCATGTAAGGATGTAAAAAGAACAAAAATAAGTGCAATAAAAATCCCTACAAATTGTATTAAAATTTTTAATTCATATTTTTTAATAATCTGAAAGGCAAAAATAAAGATGAATTTCTAAAAGTTAGAATGTAATAATACAACGAAGATTTCACACCTGAAATTTTTTCGTCTTTTTCAGTTAGTTTGTCTCAAACACAGGCAAAACCAAAGAGTTCTTCCCACCCGTAGCATAACAGACATTGAATGCTGCTATATAACTTTATGAAAGCTAAAGTTGTGAAGAGGGATGACCGGGGAGGGGGGGGGGGGGGGCCAGCGGTTAAGTCGTCAGAGGCGAGNGGGGGGAGAGACAGCTGTTAAGTCGTCAGAGGCGACAAACTCATTTAGTTGAAGTGCAACCTAAAATCAACTTGCAGGTTGGGTGATTTGTGAGCAATTGGTAATTCCTTCACATGAAAGCCAAAAACACAAGTAAAACCAATGATTTAAGAACATGCTGGAGGAAACCAGTATTTACTGTGGCAACCACACTTTTGTAATTAGAAAGAAAGATGAAAGAACAATTTCAATAGCCTCAATGGGATTTTGTCCAATCATTGTTATGGAAGAAATATGACTGCTGCCATTCTGTGCATGCGTACAAATGCAAAATCCAGTATCACTGATATAAAATACTGACATGTGTACAGGCAAAGGGCACACACACAGTTTAAAATGTGAAATGTTCACCCTATGACAAAATACCAGCTTTCAAACAATTACATCATCTTGACAAAGCATATCAAAAACTTTCAGTTATGTTGACAGAATAAGATTTATCTTGTCCAAAGCATATTTAAGGCAACAGCCAAGATATTCGTTACAACCATTCTGTTTAATTGAACTAAACCGGAAAGTGCGAAAGTTCTTGTTTTCATCTATATACGTGACTGCAGCCATAAGCGGACACATGATGATCTTCGTGTGGTCCATGAAGTTGATCTGCAACACAGCACAGAGATGGAGATTATGCTCTGAGATCTGATGCTCTCACTGTGGTGAAATGTTAAGGGACATGGTTTGGTAGACAGGCACCAACTTTTAGAGGAACCTGCAGACCTCACACAGTGAAAGAGTACAGGCAACAGGTTTCCTATGAATGTCAGAATCTACCTACCAAACTACACAATACCACCGTCTCAATGTTGTTGTTAAATGTCTAACGAAATCATCAGATATATTTGAAAATGGTCACAAATTTATCCCTAGACCCATATTCTACCCTATAATGCTGATCCCCTTCTCTCTTATGCTCTTCACACTTGTCAGTTTGATAACTGAATGTGGCCAGCATCAGTTCCGGCTGTATTGTGAACTCAATTAGTATGACATTGTAGTGAAAGTCCTATTTATTGACTGCCTTTCCTTAATTTACATCAAGGTTATCTTTAAATGGGATTATGTATAATTAAATCAATAATGATTCACCATTTTCTAATAAGATTTCTATAGATAATTGTGATAAAAATAACTTCACCACATAAGCAAAGAAATTTTCTACAAAAAAAAATCAGATTCTCTTAAATAATTACTGACATAGGAAACAATCATGACAGTGCCCTTACAACCTGTAGCAGAGAAATGAGTATCAATTGCTGTTAAAATCACAGCTGCATTAAATCAAGATTCAAATCCTGCAAGGTTGAAAATTTCTTGCACTAAATTCAGACTGCTTACTAAATCAAATTCACTAAATGTGAGACAGGATACATTGCTTATACTGGGCTTTAGCATCGAATTGGGATTTCACAAGAGTACAATTTTACCGTTGTAACAAAATCTATCCTAGAGATCACTGAACGAAGGAATGAAAGTAATAAGATAATCTGGCCCTTGTCACCTGCAGGGTCCCATTGGTCAGGAGCATCACAACAGCTGATGAGGTGCGGAACCACCGGGTCAAGTAAGGCACTCTGCTTAGAGAGTCACATTCACGAACGGGAACGGTTGCACCAGCTTTCACTAGATGTTCAGTCATATAACGACGAAAGTATGACAACAATTTCATCTTCTTGTCCAATGTGTCCGGGTACTCCTCCATCAAGTAGTAGAACTCCTTTCCTTCACGGGTTATGTACTGCACATTCCTAAGAAAGGTTGTCAGTTATAGTTAGCCAATATAATCTAGGAATGAAAATACAAAAGCAAACAATATAAGAATGTTTCAGACTAATACCATAAAATAATGAATAACTGAAAATACATGTTTGTAAAAGTGGCACTGTTTCACTTGCTGAGGCTGTCAAGCATCATAAAGGGCACAAGGAGTTGGCTTGGATGCGGGTCTGATGGATGGAACCTAAGTGTAGTACCATTCCGTACAGATCTATCAGTCGAGTGCAGACCTCTGTCCTGCATACATTGGTTCCCATAATGTGTAAACACGACTTTAAATTAGTCACAAAACTGTGATGAGATTTGAGGCTCTTGAGGCTGTGAATATTAAGATCACAGTCTTCTGGGATGCAAGACTGTGTACTCTGGTACTTGGGTACCAACATTTAGATGGGGGCTACAAGTTCATCTAAAATGTTTGAACATAGCTACCAAACTACAGTAATCATAAGGTCATGATGCTAAGTGTACAAGAAAAAAATTATAAATTTCTTGAACTGATACATATATTTGACATTTTCCAGTATCTGTTTTGTTTAATGTAACACATTTCAGATGCTGGCTCTGCTTCTGACATCAAGTAAAACTATGAAATGATTTAGCTGTAAGTCAGGAACATAATCGTGGCATACATTCACAAGTTGTGGTACTAACATTTCTATATGTGCTTCTTTCTCATGGGTTCTAAGCAATATAAGCTCTAAATTTGCAGAAATATATCATGAAATGGTCATGTTCTGATCCTGAGGTTTTCTTCTGTCCTTGCAGGGAATGAGAAAAACTGTGAGAACCTGCCAGGGTAGCTGACGTCCTGGTCAACATTAAAACAATGCTTCTTGAATACAAGTCCAGTGCATTAATGTTAGAAAAATCAGTTCAATAGGTCAGGGAGTAACACACCATAGGAAGACAAAATAATTATTTTTAATGTCACTAGATGGAGCATGTAGCTACCATTTGCAGTTCTTTTGACATATGTAAAGTGTTTGCTATTCATATCTCTGCCATGAGATAGTGCAAGCCACTAATGTTGTGCTAAAAATGGCTGGGCTGAGACGTACACGGGGAACAGCTGCCAGGAATGACGGTGTTAGCAATGTAGGAGAGGTGATAATACTTTCTGGTCATGTCATCAGACACCAAAATTAATGGAACATAAATCACTTACTTTCCATTAGCTAACATGACAAGCTTGGTCGAATCATTGAACAAAACGCCGACACCTTCGTCGCAAAGCTGGTATCCAAACCCATATTTGTCTGAGTAATCTACCCACTTACTAATCCAAACAACAGGCTGAGCAGCTGGGTCAGTGCCCTCAGCTGGGTCAGTGTCTTCATCTGGAACACAGGATTTGGGAACTTTAGAGTTAAATTTAACGACAAATTCGCAGATCACATGAGAATGATGAATGAAAATGAATTGGCCATGAAGGGCGTGAAAAACAATAGCATGCAGGTGGAAATAAAATTACATTTACAGTACTAGTGATTATACTGAGGCCAAAGAAAGAAGGCCACGGAACAACCAGCTCTGCACCCCCTTCCACCTCCAGCATACTTCCCTGCTTCCCTACTTCTCTCCAGTCATCCAGCAATTTTTGCACCTGATGTTGATAGAGATGACCTTCACTAGTAGCAAGTGCTTTCTGCTGGTGGACATAAGTACGTCAGAGAGGACTAGAAACAAGTACAGTGATAGGCAAAAGAATTGAAGCCTCAAGCACGGTCAGCCCCACCCTCCATGGCCTCAGTGCAGTAAGAAACAATGAGATGTGAAATCTGTGCAGGCAGTTCAGGTTACCCTGTAATGGAAACAGCATATCCAAGGCAAGGTGACTCAGTACTACACAAATAAAAATGAATAGACGGAACTGAAGAGGCAAGTGTGAAAGTATTTTGCAACATGGCACCCATATTCACTGCAACAGAACTTCACTGTTTCACACTGTTTTGGAAATGGCAACATTCATCAAGTAATCTCAGTTTTTCAGAACATCTTTTACTGTCCACAGACAAAAAGTGAACCTGTTCATTTCGAGACAACTGGTTGCAGCCCTCACAAACATGGAAATGGCAAAAGGAGCTGCTGCATTAACATATATACAAAGCTGTCATTACCTCCAGACACTCTGGTCTCTCTGCTAGGGTTTGATTTGAGCAGAGAACACAACTGGTCTCTTAGGGTGAGAAGATGGTGATGAGAGTCAGCTGCTGGACTGTCACGCTGATCACTATTGTGTCGAGGAAGGCTGCCACTGGGATGACCGGATCCAGTCTTTTTCTTTGGACTTGAACCACCTGCACCCACTTCACCTACAAAACATGAGAATCCTCTATCATAACATTCATGAGGTTCAATATTTAGTTTCCTCTTCTCGCATTCTATATCTTACACCACAATACCCATGTTCTTATTAACAACACTCCTCCGAACAGATCCCCACATCACAGTTCTGGCAGCACATTGCCGTAAACTTCCTTGGTGGTTTTCCTGTTCACTGGATACTCGCATCACTGTCTGTACACAATTCACAGGTGTGTTCAGACTGTCCTCTCATTTTTATGAATTACCACATTATTGTATGGAAAATGGTCTCTTCATTAAATCTGCCTGCAGAAGAACTCCTGGCCCATTCCTGAATATCTTACCTTGCACTGTTGATCAACCCTTCAGCTATCATCTTATAGAACAGCTCCAGTGGAATGTTTCCTCTGTTCTCTTTACTGTGCAGTATGTAGGCATTGGCCATGTGCAGACTGAAGACGTTGAAGAGAACTTTCTTCTCTCGTTTTACTGATCTCTGGAATTAGTGTCAGCATTTGGTGCTATCAGCTGGATGCCAGTGCCTCAACTAACTTATTCCTGTTGGCAGTACAGTTTGTGTGTGTGTGTGCGTGTGTGTGTCCTGGCTGTCTTTCCATTTTATAGACAAGAGGTGAAGCCAATGGCAAACAATTTTTCATTACCTCCAGTTTCATTGAAAATACCTATTCAGGTATACCTTTTGCATTGGACATTAATGAGTTCACAGTCACTGTCTTATATGCTCACAGACAACTAAGGAGTCAGGCTAGAATTCCATCAATCCATATATAGAGTACGTCCGTTACATTTACATTTATTTTCATTTCATTGATCCAATCCTTCCCCCTTGCTCTTGACTTGCTGACACAATCAAGTGGCAATACTAGACATAATGTTGTGATCTGTATGCCAGTGTTTTGTACATAGCCACCATTTGCTTCACACAGCTGGAAAATCTAAATTCCACATGTACATGGCATTCCTTTCATGCATACCCAGAATATGTGCCCTCAAAATGCATGAACTACCTCAGTAATGAGGGAGTCCTTTTCCATGTGTGCATAATTAAAATTTTGAAGTACGACAATCTGATATAGAATGAAGAAAGCAGTCGTCTGGGATTTGGCACCGTGTATATGTGGTGTTAACCGACATTTCAGAGACCAGTCTGCTTTTACCGGTTCTCACGGTCTCTTCGCTTGCAGATTTCTTATATTTTTTCTTCTACCCTGAAGATGGAGGGGATACGTTCCTCCGAAACGTCGGTTAACACCACATATACACGGTGCCAAATCCCAGAAGACTGCTTTCTTCATAGTCACCGCCGTGAAAGCCTCAAATCTTACATAATATAGAACGATTTTGAATAAGTGGTCACAGACTGCAGGTCTCCTGGGCACTTGAATGTCATTGTTATTGGCATCCAACATAGCCAGAATCAAAACAAATTTGTTGCATACCATACCCAAGGTGTGCATTGGTAGTTTTCTCAACAGTCACAGACAGCTTACATGATGTAGACACGTGAATGATGATCACACATAATACTTTCAGTTATTACAATGTGGCAGATTTCCACTCAGTAAATAGTGACTTTTTCTTCCTGAAAAGTCCTGTTTCACTTTTTTTCTTTACTTGTATTGCATACAAGTTAGTTTCATCCCATATAATTACAAAAATTTTAAAAGAATTCTGAATACATGAATCAGTGATTTGTCTACAGCAACTTAAAACTTTTTGGCTGTCCCTGGCAAGCCAGAGAATGCATATCCCTGTCTTTCCAGCCTGCCTGAGACTCAGGGTCTGGCTATCTAGGCTTTGCTCTCAATGCTCTTATATGGCCACTGCTTGGTTCTGGTGCAGGGGAAACATCCTCTTCACTATTGCTGCTGCTGTGCAAAACTCTCAGTGCATTCCTCTGAATGAGGACTGTTTGTAGTTTCCATTGCTGCATGTCACAACAGGTGTACTGGAGTGCAAAAATTACCATGCTTGCACTAGACTGTCAAATTTTGATCTTGCTCAGACAACATTAAGAAGTCTGTTAATTCATATCAGCTTATCTTGGGTCTCTGAACTCATAGATACTTTCAGAACGAGAAAGAAGCCAGTCTTTGTCATGCCCTTGACTGGTGTTGCGGAAATGAACATAACTGTTTGTTTTGAAATTGCAAAGCTTTGATTTATCATGAGTTGATGATCTCTGCAGGCACCCACTAAAACTAGAAGCTTATAGGTACTGAAAAGTGAGTGTCAATAGTGCAAATAGTATTTTCTATTTATTTTTAAATATTAGGTCAGTACTGCCATGTGTCAGTGACTAGACATGGGGTTTGGGTTTATTGAACACTTGCAACATATAACTACAACACTACTTCTAATCAAAGCATTTAACAAATTACTGTGACACAAGCTGAGCCTCAGTCTGTTATCATCTCCAGGAACTGTTGGTTGGTGATTGTTATGGCCTCAGGCTGGGCTGCACAGAGAACACTGTCTTGAACAGCTCTTCTATTGCTGCATAGCAATGGCTCACTTGTTTGATGACATAACAGTGTGTTTACTGTGCCATTGCCTAGCAACAAATTACATCTCTTGCATTACTATCACCAGTGTCTTGCCAGACTGTAACAGTAATACTGTTTGATGGTAAATGCTAACTGGATGTGAATATAATTTAAAGGCTGATGCATAACACCCAAACTCTAACCCTCCTATTTATGCTCAATTGTGTTGCTAATCTTAAGGTACAAATCTCATTTTGTAAGGCTAGATTCCTCACAGTTCCAGATAATGTTCAAAATATTGATAAACTAAGCTACAGTGATTAAGTTGGAGAGTGCGTTGTGTCTTGCACTAATATCAAACTCACTAATGGTGTTGACTTCAAGAAGAGGTTTCCTGCCCACAACCTTCTCCAGTTTATCTGCTCTTGGGGCCACAGTCAAACAGGATACAGGCAACTGGGATGGAATGTAACCTGAGGAAAAGAAAAAATAAACTTCTTACCTCCTATATAATCAGGAAAATGTTATGAAAATCTTCCATCATCCAGCAGAATTTCGTTTTTATACAGATCAATGGACAAAAAGTCTGCAATCCCTTCTTTCTTAAAGTAATCTACCCTTATCCACTTCCTGCCAGCTCTTTCCCTTTTTCTTGATGTCTTCCAGCCCTGGCTAAATCATCTCGTGCTTGATCATCAAGAGGTCTCCTTCCTGCCTTCAAATTTCAACCCTCAACAGCCTGTCTAACTTTAAATCATATCTGAAGACAGCTTTGCAGACCATACGCTGGTTGCCTTCATGTTTTGCAAGAAACTTCTATTTTAAAATTCTGTATACAGGTAAATGGATTAATTCTTGCAGCAGTTCCATTTTGATCTGGACATAACTTTAATAAATATAATAAATACAGTTAATATCCTGGAACAGCTTTTTGAACATTTAGGGGGAAAAAAAAATAGGCCGCCAGTCCTGTCTCTCAAAAGATTAATTCTAAAACCCTTCTCAATATCCTTGCTTTGGTCATTCTTTTTCCATTTCTATGTCATTGAAACTGTTTCTCTACAAACTCTATTAACAAATTCCAACTTCCATAAAGAAAATAATTTCTAAATATACAATTCCATTGCAAAACAAAACAAAAAAAAAACACAAATATTTACCAGATGTGAAAAATTCACTGTTGAGAAGTTCCTCCACCTTTGGTCGGCACTTGGGATCCAGCTGGAGTGTTGCTCGGATCATTTTAATGGCAGAACTTGATATCTGTGAGGATGCTGGTATCTTATATTCACACCTCTTTATCCGAGAATATGTCTCCGGCAGCGAATTAGTCTCAAACGGTGGCTTTCCAATCAACAGTGTGTACCTAGGAAACAAAATTTGTTATTAGATTCGTAATATTTAACAAGTGAAGCTGGTTCTTAACTTCAGTTTAAGATTAAGATCATGCAATGTCCCTTAGCACATCTGCTCCTGTGAAACTGACATATGTGAAAGCACATTCTGATATGTCTTTATAGGGTAATTTACAGTGTCAAAATCTCGATTATGTAATGTTGAATGAATAATGAATTATAAATGAATGTAAGGAAGTGGCTGTGGCCTAAAAAGATAATATTCTTAAATGTGCTTAAAGGAACTGAGTAAACCAGTCACAATAGCTGATGCCCCAGGCAAAATTCAAACCAAGAACCTGGTGAACATGGGTCTGGGGTGATACTGTTAGACCAACCAAATTGGTTTGATGTTTTAGAACATTTCCTTGCAAGAAAGGATTTTCGAAGATCGTGTAAGAGAAATGCATTGCAATGAAAATAATACACCACATAATAAAATATAAATAATGTAACTACAAGACATTAACATGACTTTCATATGACAAGTACCAATGTCACAAGAGTATAAAAGACCATCATCGCCGTCTGGTGTGATTGATAACTTTTTTTAATAATTCATTCTTTACGTGTTTCAGTCGGAGCTACCATTTTCAGAAGCACATATCAGGACATGCGGAAACCACTATTAAAATGTCACTGGTCACTACCAGTACACACAGACATCACCGTTACAATGTTATGAATATAAAATATTAGCTTTTAACAAATAAAACAATGTGCATGAATTTATTAAAACATTTATAAATCTTTACAACTAGTCTGTTTACTGCGTGGTTTAAAGAACTTGTTAAAATGTAGAACCAGTTTGGTCTGTGCCCTTCGTACTGCTTCTCTTTAAAGAGAGATAAGTGTGTACCGGGGCGTGGTTCCGCTGTTTGAAGAACAGGATTCTTGAGTGTCGTTCAGCTGTTTGGGCCATGCTGTGTTATGTTAATACATTCATGCACACCACTCGAATTGTTAAAAACTAATATTTTATATTTCATAACACTATAATGCTGATGTCTGTGTACTGGTAGTGACCAGTGACATTGTAATAGCGGTTTCTGCATGTATTGATATATCCTTCTGAAGATGGTTGCACCGACCGAAATATGTACAGGATGAATTATTAAAAAAGAATTTATCAGTCACACTGGACAGCGCTGATGATCTTTTATACTATTCCTAGCGTGACCGACCAGGATGAACCAAGTCAATAAAAGTGACAAGATACTGTCATGTGATATAAAAATACTTAAGTATATAATAATATAAAAGTACTTAGGCCAGCAACAAACCATTCTCTCTTATCTAACTCCTACTCTGTAGAAGAATGAATGTTCACTGAAAAATTTCAATCTTTTACAGCACAGAAGTAATGATGCAAATCATTTTCATTTTGCCCACGTTGCATGTTCACAGTTTTCATAGGATTCTCACAATAAACAGTGATTATTTCCTTAACAGGATTAACTAGCTGGCCTTTATAATGGAGATACAGTGTATTTTATTAGGTGATAGGAGATGAATTTCTAAATATTATTTAGATTATATTCAGGCTTCAAAGGGTAATAAGTGTAGTAATATATCTATAATTATATGTTTTTGACATAAGTATTGTACAATATTCTTATAAAATAACATATCTATACATATGAATAACAACCATGTGTACACTGAATGTTGAAGACTCTAAGGAGCATTAACACCTTTTTCATTTATTTAACTATGATCGTTATCTAGAGTGTTTAGCATCTGGTGAAAGGCTGATTAGACAATAATGAACCGGATGGCAGTGGCTGTGGCATAAATTAAGCTACTATTCTGGCACTTACTGGATGGACTAGGAAAATCAGAGAACCTCAGTCAGAACAGCCAAGGTCCTGACTGGATTCAAACTGGGACCTCCAAAATATGAGTGAGAAATGTTACCACTTGAGTCAGTTCACTTGGTTTTCAAAACTGGCATTTAGGATACATACAATATACAGCCAATTGACCAGATGTCCGCCTCAAAGCTATGCCCCTTCTTGGTCACGACTTCTGGAGCAACGTAGTTGGGTGTATCACAAACTGTCCTGCAACACAAACAAGCATTCAGAGCACTTGCTATTAGCACAATGAATTTCCGAGTTATAAAGGGTTAGACCTTACTGGCTTTAACAGTAATTAGTAAGCACACACAATTCTCACCTTTTGAGACCAAATTGAAAAAATTTTCAATTCTTTGTTGTCACACTTTAAGAATTTTAAACTGCTTTAAATTTTGCACATGATCCATTACAACTGTAATGGCTGGCAACATCAGCACAAATCAACTTTGCAACAGAATCTCTTTCTGCCCATGGTGAAACTGGATATGGCCCTATAACTGAATTCTTTTATCACTGAAGAAAATTTTCCATCAAAATTTCTGATATTAAAAGGGATAAGTTGGACACTTAATGCACTCTAAGAAATTTATTAGTATAATAAACTGCAATTAGTGAAGAAACTGGTTTAGTAGAGAAAACTCTTATTTCAATTCCCAGAAAAAAAGAGGTAAAGCTATCACTGTAACAGACCGTGAAGATCCATAGAGTTGTGAGGCATCGAGACTCCCGCATTTTTCATAGACAATCGGCTCACAGAAGGCAGTGAGGTTGTCAGCCTAATGCTCCAGCCGCCCTTTACCCCCCAGGAAGATTCGTGGTTCTCATTTCTGTTAGAGGCTGAGTTGACCCCAGGGCCATAGTGCAGCTGGAAGGATTAGGTCAGTTGAAAAAATCCACCTCATCAGAAATTTTCCAAACTCTCTGCTTGATCTAGTCTCAGACTGGCTTTCTTTTAACAGTTATTGCCTGAATAATATATTTTGGTAGTTGAAATTAAATTTATTACAGTAAATTGCCATTTATTCAACATGTGTGGGGAGTGGAGTGCGCTAGTTATACGTCACTCTTACAAAAAAATCAATACAAAGTCAAAATAAGTTGGCATGTTAGTTCTTGTGTACGAATCTTCCTAGGTGACATAACAGATAAACCGCTGAAAGATATCAGATGCACATAATGTAACATGATCAAACATTCAACCAGTTTCTACTGTTAATGATCGATACTTGTGCAAGGGAAGACACACAGCAATGATGCAAGTGGCAGCTGGTAGAACCACTACATGGCAGGTGAACATATGCAGATCACAAATTTCTTTTGAGTAACTTCATAAATATGGTAAATTTCTTTTAAATTTTTGTTTGTTCAGTGATAATTCCAGATGCTTGGAAATTGGGAGGTTACTATTCTCCTAGAATACAATTCTTTATTACAGTCCATTGCAACACAACAATACAATGGTAAAGGCTAAAATTAGCTTAACTATTAGTATTCATGTATTTATATATGCTGCTTGCTTGACTAGCATTTATAATTTTCATTTTGTGCATCCTGTTGTGTTATTATATACAATTCTTTATTAGAGTCTGTTGCAACACAACAATACAATGGTCAAGGCTAAAATTAGCTTAGCCTTGACCACTGTATTGTTGAACTGTGACAGACTCTAATAAAGAATTGTATATTAAAACACAAAATGAAAATGGAAAAAATACTATACTTAGATTTCTAAAAAATTCTCGACATAAACTTGATTTCTAAAGATAAGTATATGAGCTGATAACCTGAGATGAGATTGGGGTAGAGTATTTAAAAAACTTTCGGGAAACAAAACCAGAATTTTCTCAAACAGACCAACTTATTTACTATACTCACCATTTATAACACCAGTTAATTTTTAAACTGAACTTAACTGTAACATTTATCCCTTTTAACACATTCAGGACCGGAGGAGCCAATTGGCCCTCTACGTTTCTATAGCGTTGCGGACCGGGCAGGCCAATTGGCCCTTTTCTGATGCGTTATGTTGCAGCCGACTCTATCTCGCTGTGTGTGTTGCATCATAACTACTGTGTAGTTGACCTCGGGAATATTTGCTAGCTTAGCCAGTAACATGATCACGCTCATTTCCTGTCACACCCTAAAGAAAAAAGCCTTTGTTCGAGTCCAAGCTTCCACGTATGAACCAGGAAGTTAGCAGGGCAACATTGATCAGAGATGAAAGCAGTTGCAGGCGAAGCGATCTCTCAGAGAACAAGAAATATTAGATTTGTTATCCAATGAGCTATCAGATTTGCCAACTGTTTCGTCTTCTGATAGTGAGGCCAGCCTCAGTGAAAGTGAGAGTGACAGGCCCCCAAAATATTGTATCCAGTGAAAGTGAGAGCTCCGATGAAAGTTTCCAGAGATATTACACATGCAAGCACTTCTAGGAGCTCTGGTAAGTGTTCTCCAAAAATTTTAGTTCACAAAATTAATTAGGAGATTTTATATTAATTTTTAAAGTGAACAGTGCACAAGTTAAGGTGCTAGGCTTAAAAACCCCAGTCCCCAGGGTGATTTAAATATTTAAACAACCAGTCCGCAATGTGTTAATATAATAAATTTCAATGTGTTTTCCAGTTCGATAAAATAATGTCTTAATGTAAGTTCCATGTGTTTTAAAGATACATTAACACACCAAACTTCTAGGTCCTGTGTCAAAGAACAGTATCGTTTCTTACTTTAGGTGTTCAAACAAAGAATATTAAAAATTCAGCCTTCTGAGATGTGACACTGTGTATTAAGATGGAAGCAGTATGCTACCCCAGTACACTAGTAACCATCTACCAGACTACACAGTCAGAGTCCAGAAGACAGACATCTTAACTGCTGCCACTGTTATCCACTGAACTGCACCATTTGTTCACACCTCACAAGTTGACATGGCTGCCATCACTGTTCTCTTAGCATTACTTAACTCGAGAGATCTTCATGAGCACCTAACCTTTTCCTCTCTCCATCAAATTCAATCTTAGCAGCAAGGCCAAAATCTCCAATCTTCACTTCCAAGTCATCATTAAGAAATAAATTCCCAAGTTTGAGATCACGATGGATAATCCTCTGTTCATGGAGATAAATAACACCAAGCAGTATTTGACGCATATAATATCGGACTTCAGCCTCAATTAAAGCTTTTCTGCGTTTGTGTAACTCCATCATTGACTGGAAACAAAAGATTATGAAATTTGTACAGTAGAGGAAGTATACGTTGCTGTCATAACCAAAATGCAGGGTAAAATCATGATGTAAAGATAGGACACAGATGTTTTGAAAATGAGGCCTTTGAGATATCTGGGAATGATTATAACAAATCAAAATCTGATTCATGAGGAAATTAAGAGGAGACTGAACTCGGGTAATGCTTGCTACCATTCAGTGCAGAACCTTTCGTCTCTTCATCTGCTGTCTAAAAGCATAAAAATTAGAATATACAAAACTATAATTTTGCCTGTGGTTCTGTATGGGTGTGAAACTTGGTCTCTGATATTAAGGGAGGAACATAGACTGCGGGTGTTTGAGAACAGGGTGCTGAAGAATATATTTGAACCGAAGAGATGAAGTGAGGGGAAGTTGGAGAAAGTTGCATAATGAGGAACTTCATAACTTGTGCTCTTCTCCATTATAATTAGAATGATCAATTCATGGAGGACGAGATTGGAAGGGCATGTATCATGAATGGGGCGAAGACAAATGCATATAGGATCTTAATAGGAAAGCCAGAAGTAAAGAGACCACTAGGAAGATCAAGATGTAGGTGGTTGGACAATATTAAAATTGATCTTAGGGCTGGAACACACACACAGCGACATTGGTCGTATGGAAAAATGTCGTACGATTTCTTTGCCATACGACCTCCTTTTCATGCTAGAGCGACCAAATACATTTCTTGGCTCTCCGACTGCCGTACGGTAGATGTTGTATGTTGTCACGTATGAAAGCTAAGACTACATTTTATATTCTACTACTTGATGCGACACGAACGGTATGGACGTCGTATGACTGATGTTGGTGTGTGTTCCAGCCCTTAGAGAGATAGGATGGGATGGTATGGATTGGATTGACCTGGTTCAGGATAGGGATTATTGGAGGGCTTTTGTGAAAAAGGTAATGAACTTTCTGGTTCCATAAACTGCTAGGGAGTTCTTGAGTAGCTACACAATTGGCAGCTTCTCAAGAAGAGGTCAGCTCCATGAATGAATGTGAGAACAGGAATATTGTATGCTACGACTAACACAGTCTACCACATCAGGAACATTAGCAGTCTGCTAAAAAGAGCAGCACTTGTTAAGATTACAAGATATTTAACACAGAGATGCATTCCATGTATTCTGGTGTTTAGAATATGGACCCAGTCAATACATCTCATTTAGAAAATACCTGAAATACATCAAACCTAGCAACACCTATTGTAAAAGTCTAACTAGGCAATTCCATCATAAGAAATATAAATTTCATACCCTTCTCCTGCAAAGTTCCAACACAATATAGACATTCTGATTATCCTCAAAAAATCCATGGAATCCCACCACATTTCTATGGTTTAAACTTCGATGAATAGCTATTTCCTGCGTCAACTCCTCCTTGTAATTTTGAATGGTCATCAGATTCTTGGAGACAATTTTACCAGCATACACATTGCCGGTCTTCATATCAGTTATCTCGTAACACTTCGCAAAACCACCCTGGTAGAAAAAACGTAACATATTCAAGTTCAAAAACTTTAATACAAACCACTAAACCGATATACTTGAAGCCATAACTATACAAATAAAATCAATACATCATAATCAAGACGAGAGAAAAAAAAACAGCCTTGCCTTTCCGAAGAATCTGCCTTTCCTGTACGTTACATTAGCCCCTGCGTCGAATATAAGTTCGGGGATATTTTGTTTGTCATCATCTCTCGATGCCATTGTTTTCAAAGAAAATTCCAAGAGAGAAATGAATAAACGGTATAGATTTCTTTTGCACACTTCGCACAAGACACCAAACCGTTTCAAATCTATGTACGCTTTAAACGGCTTGGTAGGTTTAAATAGTCTTCGCCAATCAGATCGCCTCTTCAGAGAGAGAACGTGAATATGGCAAACTTCTATTGGTTACATCCTATGACGTCACCAAATTCGTGTAACTATGTAAATTTATATAAATATTACTTTCTTAATAATTTTAATTCAAAGTACGGGTCATAATGAAAATAAATAATGCACCATGATGTCACATAAATGAATGGATTAATTCATCAAACGTTTAAGAACGAAATTCTAAAGGCAAAATATATTAATTACTTATTGTTACTCCTCCGGAAACGCATGATTTTTAAGACGTCGCATTTGACTATACTCATGTACGTATTCCTCTATAGGGTAATTGCCAAATTAACTAAACATAGCTGTCGGTAGTCCAGTTGGTAAAATAGTTAACTACTGTTCCTCTTCAATCGATTCATTTTCAACACACCCTGATGACCGACGATGACGACGCTGAGGACGACAATTATAATAATGCCACTGGAATTGTAATTAAGGGTAAAAAAATATGTGGCAACAATACCAGGAAGGAGTTCAATAATTTTTTATACAAAGACAACTATGCTGAGGTTATTGCATACTACAAGGAAAGTATTATACCATTGAAGCCTAAATGGTGTAGTTCACCAATGGGTCAAGGGGATAAGTACCAGGAATGAATGACTAAAGGGCTCCTGTGATATTAAAAAATGATGTTGATTGCTGCTGCTGCTATTACTACTAATACTACTACTACTTGTTCCATTTAAGTATGGAAATTTTGGATTATACTCATTATATCAAACCTCAAATTGTTTACCCACCAACTGAAGATAAGAGCTGTGTGGTAAAACTCTTAATTCTTATTTTCTTGAATAAAATAAGAAAGCAGAAATGTCTGAAGCACCTACTGGTCTCATCTGACTACACAGTCATTCAGGTTAGTTTCAACAACAGAGAAATAACTGTTAAACATAACATGATAATGATAAGACATTCATTCATTCATTCATTCATTTATTTGCATTCTGTTAATCCATACAAGGTCAAACCAACCTATGGGATATAGAACCTGTCAAGATACAAATATAATATAAACATAAAATAATGATATATACGTACATTCATAAAGACCACAATAAGGACATAAAGTAAAAACACAGTATTGCATAACAGCAGTGTCACAAAAACACATTTTGATCAAAGACACAAAGCAAAACACAGTATTGCACAACAGTGTCACAAAAACACAGTTTGAACAAATACACCATATAATAATGAAGACAATGAAACATGAATGAATTGAACTTACAGTGGGAAGACCTCCTACAACTAATCTAAATGTACAAAGGGCAAGAAATATAAAAAGAACCATATTCATTAGGAAGTTAATTGGTAATATTCATCAATACTATAGAATGCATGTTCTGTAAGGTAGGTTTTTAATGACGATTTGAAATGCTTAATATCTTTAGATAGCATTTTAATATTTAGTGGTAAGTGGTTATAAATCTTACTTCCAGAAAAGAGTACTCCTTTCTGTACAGATGACAGATTTGTAGAAGGCAAGTGTAAATTGTGGTTGTAACGAGTATTAATATCATGAATATCAGAATTAGATATAAAGCAACTTCTGTTCTTGATGACAAAGACAAGTAGTGAGAATATGTATTGAGACTGAAGTGGCAATATTTGTAATTTTTTAAATAATTCACGGCATGAGTCGTATCTACCTGAGCTAGTAATAACTCTTATTATTCTTTTTTTGAATTTTAAAAATACTGTCGCTGAGATAAGAATTACCCCAGAAGACAATACCGTAAGATAGAATAGAGTGTGCATAGGAATGATATGTCTAGGAATAGAAGGGGAGTGCATGCTGACTGATGGATGTCCCACAGTTGGCATGAATATACACATTAAGTGTAAGTGTAAGTTAAGGAAGGAGAATTATTGTGTATTGCTAATTATCTTGTTGGTATTATTGTATGTGTAACATTGTATCTATTTATTTGAGGTATTCAGTTTAGATTTTAATTATGGTCAAATTGATGTCTCAGAGATTTTATCTGTGATTGTCTTGTGACTGTTGTGTGACAAGTTTTATATTCACTGCCAGTTGCACACTTGTGAATGCTCTGAAACGCTGATGTATGTATGTATGACTATAATTTCATCATGACCATCATCAACAGTCAGGAATGAGGACTGGCTTGGTTTGACCTAGAGTATAGATGATAAGTGGCAAAATCATTACATATATTATTCTATGCGTGTGTCTGTGTGTGTCTTTGTAAGGCAAAATTTTCCCTGTGCTTAACTAATTAAGCACTGTGCCATGAAGGCATATGGAGGAGTGGATATGTATGTCTTTTGTATTGGCGTGACATTTTATCTCACTTTCAAAGGGAAGAACATAGATCATAGGGTATCACTATCTTCTGTGATGTGGCTCTTGTAGTCTGGTAGAAGTGTGCTGATGTTCTGGGGGAATGCACTGCCTCCATCCTTAGATTCAAGAGTAAGCTAATCAAAGAATATAAAAGCAGCAAGCAAGGTAAAGTCTCTTTACTGTGCTTTTTACTTTAACTTTTCACTCTGCTTGCTCTTTAACCCTGAAGCTGGAAGGAGTACATTCCTCTGAAACATCAGCGCATTTCTACCAGATTATACAAGTCACATAATAGAAGGCAGTACTGTTCATAGTCTCTACCATGCTTACATCAAATCTCACACAAATCAAGGCTAGAAAAGGCTATGTAATGAGGAACTTCACCATTGTGGACTACTGTTCAGCAGATTTTACTAGTGTGATCAGATTAAGGGGGATGAGGTGTTTGGTAAATGTGGTAGGCATGGGGAAATGAGAAATACATGCAAAGTTTCAGTTAAATAGTCTGGAGACATTAATCCACTTAAGAGACCTGGGCATGGATGAGAGGATAATATTAAAATAGTTATTAAAGTAACAAGAAGTGAGTGGGATGAGGACTGGTCTAGGGTAAGGTCCAGTGGCAGGATTTTGTGAACACAGCAATGATTATTTAGGTTGTGTAAGGTACAGAAATCCTTGACCAGCTGAGCAGTTGTTATCTTGTGAAGGAGTCTGTTCCATACATTTAGGTAAAAGTACAAGGAAATAACAGAAATCATACATCTCTGTCCTCAAGACAGAAGCAGCATTTTCCTCTGAAACATCGATACGTATCCTCCAACCTGGGTAGCATCATACCCCAAAGGATCATAATCTTTACATTTACTACCATGAGAATCCCAAGTGTCACATGTTCTACATTATTAAATTATTGAATTGTGTCACTTTGATCATAAATCCCTCCCATGGGTTATCACCTTTACGTGGTGGAGAGGGCTTAGTAATCAGAGTTTCTGGCCCTGTAGGCTGGGATTTTGGTAGGGGTTTGTAACCTCTTCACATAAATAAGAGTATATACCAACCTTTAAATCAACAACCAGAAGTAATGCACTAGACCACACTATAGACAAAATACGATATGAGGAAAGAATTAGAAACTTTTTATTTAAATGGATGATTCAAGATTAGGTAAAAAAGCTATCCCCGTGACAGGCTGTGAAGGCCCATGGGGTTGTGAGACATCAAGGCTCCCACATTTTTTCTATACAATCAGCTCACAAATGGCAGTAAAATTGTCAGCCTTATATGCCGGCTGCTCTTTAGCTCCCAGGAAGATTTCTGATACTAACTTCTGTTAGAGGCTGAGTCAACCCCAGGGCCATTGTGTGGCTGGAAGGATTAGGTCAATTGAAAAAAACCATCTCATCGGGACTTGAACCCACAACCTTCCACAATGTAGCACAGTACCTCAACCAACTATGCTACCACGTGCCACAGATGATTCAAGATTAGTGAAAGAAAACTGGGTAGATCATATTTCAAGAATGCTGAATCTGATGATTTCAAAGCAGATTTACCTGTATTGACCCTTTGCAACGGCTGACATGCAACACTTTGAATGTGATGGTTCAGATGTATTTCAGGCTGGAACAAGCTAAACAGCCTAAATCTTGATTACTACTGTTGCTGTTGATGATGAAGATGAAGACAGTCTCTGCAACACTGATGACCAGGGCCCGGATTTTGATGACCTGAAAATATTTAAAAAATGACCTATAGAATGACCAAAGAAATCCAGAAAAAAGACCTAAAATATGACCCAAAAATTTAATATGCAGGGCCCGGATTTTGATGACCTGAAAATATTAAAAAAATGACCTATAAAATGACTGAAAAAATCCAGAAAAATGACCTAAAGGAGAAAAGAAAGAACAATTCGCTTCCATGTTATTCACATTTCAGAAAACATATGAAGAAAAATTCCTTAAAATGGCCAAAAATGACAAGAAATACCCTTAAAAGTCCAAAAAATTTACCACAAAATTACCCCCAAAATGAAAAAATGACGTTAAACCTAAAAATGTCAAAAAATGACAAAAAATTACCTACATAATTTACATTTCTGTAACCAGCAGCTCATATCCGAGATTTATATATTTAAGAGCATCGCATAGGATACAAGGAAAAAAAGATGACATGTCATCAAAATCTGGGCCCTGCTGATGACCAACCTCAAGCTGATTACCCAAGATCATGCATTATTCCTTCCTCTGACCATATAAGGAAAGAACTATTTTAATCAAAACTGAATTAAATAGTGCACCATCATAATATTAATTTTCTATAGCCACATAAAGTGATGCAGTCACTTGATAAAATATTTATATCTCAATACATCTTCCATGTGGCCCCAACGCCCAGGCCCCAACCTATGAAAATGACTTGAGTGTGATTTAGTAATTTGAAAGAAAGAAATTTACTAACAATCTTAATAATATATATGAAATTGAATATTTGTAATTAATGTCATTTTTTAAAAATGATTCAGGATCAGTGTTATAAGCCAAATTTCAGGAGACCTCTGGCCTCCCCATGGGGCCACAGCTCCCATTGTGGGAAACGGTATTTTGCGTCGTCTTTTATTGCCGTTTATTTGATGATGCTATCGGTATATAGATTATATAGCGTCGAATGATACAATGATAGATGAATGATGAATACAAATGGATTTGAAAGGAACCATTAGTAACATAAATCGAGATACTATGTCGCCAATTGCAGGAGGGATGAGGAAATCCACGAAAAAAAAAAGCGTTTATTTCAGCCGGTGGGCCGCTCGATACTCGAACCCAACATCGCCCCAGTACGAGCCAACAGCGTTACCGCTATGCAAGCCAATTCGGTGACGTCGTGTAGTTTGGCAGATTGGTGTCAACGTTTTGGGGAAACTCGCTGAACAGGGTTCATGGCAGACTAACACTCTTCTACCTTGAAGATCTAGGCAGCAGGCTCCTCCGGAACTCTGGTACTTATCCCCCAGACCACACGGCGTCACATTCCAGAAGACCACAGTCTAAATACTAACCGCTGTTAGAACCCATGTCTCATATGTTAACTTCTGATTTACGAAACTGCAAGTCAGAATTCAATTCGTGTGTCTTCGTGCTGCACATAGTTGTAAGATAGTTTGCTGAAGCTTCTCTTGTCATTCTGGAGCTGCGACAGCTCAGTCAGTACAATGGCTAGGCCATGGGCTACAAAATTGGGGTCCAGGAGAACAGGTTATTCTATTCTCCACAACCTCCAAACCGGCTCGGCGGCCCACCCATCTTCCTACCTAATGTTTACCGGGGGCTGTTTCCCTGGCAGTAAAACGGCCGGGGCGTGAAGCTTACAAAGTCGAAGTAAGAGTTATCTTACGACTGACGGTCAGTCAGCCAGTCTGTCTTTGTGTCAAGCTCCATATGGGGACCAAAACCAGATTTTTGTTACTGGCAGACAGTTGCGGGTTTGTTGATGCTGGGCGGAACAGAGGGCTGATCTGTCGTTTACAATTGTTGCTGGTCCTCGCCGGTGCAGTTATACTCAAGTCCGAGTCTCGCCGGACTCATGACCATATCTTACTGTCTCAAATTCGATACTCCCTAAACCTGGAAGGCCAGGTCCCCGTATTTAAGTCCCAAGGAGCAGGGTGGCCCAGTTATACTCTCAGGCAGTGCGTGAAGCTTATAGAATCAAAGTCACTTTACGACTGATGGTATGTCGTCAATCAGCTTGTCTTGGAGACAAGCCCCTTGAGAATCGCGACCAGTAATTTCTTTTTCCAACTGGACACTTGTGGAGCTAGTCCCTATGTAACATCCTCTGTGACGACAGGATGGGTCTGCAGTGTACAATTCTTGCTGTCCCTGGCCATTGCAGTCATTCTCAGGTCCGACTGACGGGGAATCGTGACATTTTACTGCCTCAAATTCGAGATTCCCCCAACCTGGAGGACACGGATCGCACAGAAAACACAGCCTAAACTAGTTCCTCCACTGTGCGTGCGCCTCTGTTACCTAGGCAACCAGTTGCTACGTGATGCACCCTCTATTGCCTAGCAATGGATGTGTTTACAGAGCCGTTCCCAAGCAACGGCTGCCTTTGTCGGCTTCACAATTCAGGCTTTCAGCAGACATAGCACAATACGTTTATGCTTGTCTGGTGATTTTGTGCCACTACTGTTCGCTATCTGGCCTTTCGACTTATTCTTACGAAATATTACCTCATCAGTTGGTTCTGAAATCTCATTCGTGAAGTTTAGGTAAGATAATGTACATTTTCAATGCACAGTCGATAAAGGAAAAAAGGAAAAGTTGTGCCTATGCATAGTTAAGCGCCACGCCATGAAAACGTGTGGGGCAGCAGAGGCATTAATGTAAGCATTCTGAATCTCTGCTTTAGGTTGGACGTGAGTGGTCAGATTCACGCCCCTGCAGCTTTACCCTGGGGGAAGATATTCCGGTAGCCAATAGATATAAGTCTGGAATCTCATTCATAAGAGTATACGGAATATACGGACCAGGTCCTCCAGATTCAGAGTTGGACGCAAGGCTGACGACCTTGCTCTGCGAAAAAAAAAAGTTTGTTGCGAAATCCAAAGAAGTGCAAACCAGATTGTCTAATTCAAGATCAATCTGGCAGAATCTCATAAGGGAGAATTTACCTAATCCTTCCAGCCGCACTATGGCCCTGGGGTCGACTCAGCCTCTAACAGAAATGAGTACCAGGAATATTCTTGGGGGTAAAGGGCGGCCGGCGCGTAAGGCTGACAACCTTGCCGCAATCTATGAGTCGATTGTCTAGAAAATGTGGGAACCTCAACATCTCACAACCCTATGGGCCGCCAAGGCCTGTTGCAGGGATACCTTTCCTTTTTACTTTTATGTACCATCATCATCATCATCATCAGTAATCTGTCAAGACGACAGGTCCACAGTCTCTTTCAAAACAATTCCTCCACTTAATGCGATCTAGAGCTTTCTCCTTCAAATGACAGTATCCTCTTCTGTCCCCAAGGTCATCCAGCATCTTCTTACGTCTTCTTCCTCGTCTTCTTGTCACTTCTATCCGCCCATCTATCTTTCCTTCGATAGCTTCTTTTAGAAGGCAGTTTCTGCGTAAAATATGACCAATCCAATTAGCCTTCCGTTTTCTTATTTCATGTAGGATATTCCTCTGCTCACTGACTCTAATTAACACTTCTTCATTTCTCACATAATCGGTCCAACTGATCTTCTCCATTCTTCTCCAACACCACATTTCGAAACTTTCCAGATGTTTCTGATCTACTGCCCTAAGTGTCCATGTTTCAGCCCCATACAGAGCTATGCTCCAAATGTAGCATTTCACTAGTTTCTTCCTCAAATTTAAGTCCAATTTGCTGGTAAAAAGATTCTTCTTCTTGCTAAATGCAGCTTTTGCCATGGCAATCCTGGATTTAATTTCATTAATTTAATTTAATTTATGTACCACATGAAATTAAATTCGAGAGGCTTGGGCAAAACGCTGCACTTCCTGTCACAACACATATCGAGTAGAATCCCCACGTTCAGTTTTGCAGAACGAGTGTTCTCTGTAAAAGTGTAACAAATGTAATGTTTTGGGGCTCTCGCAGTGGCTATGTGGGACAGTGCCATGTATGCGGTTGAAGTCCTTTCGGCGGAACATGTCAGGGTGAGAAGCAAGAAACCAGCATAAAGCATGTAGCAACCAAAGCTAAAAATGGATACGACATGTTCCTGCGAAACGTGGGTTGGGCTTCAATGGACTACACGGCTTCAAATCCATGAAAATAAAAATCATTTAACAAATTACCATTCAAATTAGAAAATTCAAAAGAAAGAGGGGCAATATAAAGCGGATCTGATATCGTTTTTATTACAACATACATTTTTCTCTGTAGATGGATATACATGTCACAGTAATTAACGTAAGACGAATGGTAAGTAAGTTGTATTGCCGGTCTAGGAATTGCACTTCTAAAACCATATTTATTAGTTGAAAATGAAGTAAGTTCGTTCTGTGAATTATATTTGTATCGTGTAGCAGTGCTGTGATTGAAACTTAACGGATTCTGTTTTAATTTATATAATTTTCGGGCCGATAATACCACGGGGGTCGCCCGAATTTCTCCATGGGGGAGGGGCCAAAGATGTTACAAATTTACGTTCAAAACTTTTCAGACCTTTTTTTTTTCTGATCAACTGAAGGGTATTCAGGACAGAAGAATAACTTTTAACACGTAACTATAAATTTTTTGCTACTAATAATTTGTGTATCTTTCTTCCTTCCAAATGTGATTTTTTAAACTTCCGGGGGAGGGGGGGAGAATGACTGACCTCTTTCTCCCAGGGGGCACCAATGAGCAAGAAAAATTAGTCGTTACGGTTTGCATTTTCCGACATGGCGTGTAGTTGCAGTTACTGACTTTCTTTACAGACTCTCCCGGACGCTCCCGACTAACATGAAGAACACGAACTTCAGTTACTTCGCTGCACTCATCATAATGACTGTGATAATGCCAATTAGTGGGTAAGTGTTCCAAACTCATCACTGTACTTGCTCATATACGCAACACGAGAAAGTAATGTGGTTGTGGGAAGAAAAATAAAATCTCGAAATTTTGACGGGTTTAAGACGTTTTCAGATCCCCTGAATACGAAAGTGTGATTTTTGGAATGTTGTTTGTGTATATGCATGCTTATGTGCCTTGTTAGCGCCTCAGTGGTTCGATGGATTTTGTTCTTATTCGGCATTCAAGTTTACGCAGCATAGGTCGGTGCCCGGTGGATAGGATTCCAGCTCCAAAAATGGAGGCCCTTCAGATGAGTCCCGTGAAAACAAAATGGCGATTTTCTCCAATACTGTTCTAACGATTTTCATTCAGTTTCTGTACATTATAAAGACTATCAACCAAAATAAAGCTGTAGAGGTATATGTTCAGGAAAGCAAAGAGTACGCCCTCAAGCGACCCAAACGCGTGTATGAGAGAGCATGGGTAATGTACTATATGCACGGACTAGTTATCGCCAAATCTTGCAACCCTTCCGACACTTTGTTTCCCCCCACCTCGTATGATTTACACTTTTTTTTTAATCCCTTCCCTATTCTCCTCCTAATCCTTTGCCTTCTTTATTTTATTACCTTTTGTTCCTCTTTTTCCTGCCCCTATATAAAAATGCATTCAAGGCTTGAAAGGGTTTGGCTACACAGCAATGCTAGATATATTGGGTATGAGGTTCCATGTCATGGCTATGTGACGTTGTGTAGACTGGTACCCGATGTCGAGAATGTACTGCCTCCATCTTCAGGTTCAAAGACTATTCTAATCAAGCAGAAAGAGCGACCTGCTTCTTCCTGTTTGCTTGATTGACATATTCTACACACTGATGACACAATGTCACATCCCAGAAGATGGGCGTTGTTCACCTCAGCCTTGCAGCTTCAACTCTAGCCCATACCCTCATACACTGTTTGTTTCAGAAGCAGACTGGGATTCACAGAGCTGTAACATTCTACTGATATATTGGGTTTCTGGACTTTATCCATCGTCCTAGTTTTTAAGATAACAAAAACTAGGACGATGGATAAAGTCCAGAAACCCAATATATCAGTGTGTTATACACCATCGTCAGAATCCTATAGTAACTACTTGTAACATTCTAGCCTTGTATTCAGGAGGTGCTGAGTTTGAATTTCGACCGTGACACAGATCTCCTGAAGTTTTTGTTGTTTTCCTCAGTCCCTCCAGTCAGATGCCAGGATAGTACCATCCACATACAAAATATCCCATTTAGTATTAATTTCCCATCTATCCTTATTTATGAGACAAAAATTCTATATGTATTTGATATCTTCACATGCATACAATTGTTAATGAAATGGGATTAGAACTTCCTGTTTTTGCATCCTGGTTCCTCCTTTCCTCTCTGACAGAGGGTGACAGTGTGGTGTGTCATTCTGTTTCAGGTTTGAAGATGAATGCCACTGTGGTGTGTTCAGGAACAGAATGGCAGAAGAGCCCATCATAAGCCACAGTCCAAGCTTTGTCATGCCCTGTGATAAAGAGGGTCGGGAGTCATGCAAGGCAATGTGCACTGCCCTGGTGAGTGTGTCAACACATTGTGCTCGAAACAAAAATAATGACACAGACAGAAACTCTGTACTCTTCATTGCTGCCTTGCATCACAGCCAAGGAGTGGAACTTCACCTCTCTGTCCACCATACACCTTTATGGCACAGGCGGAAGTTTAATTACCTTTTACCTGCAAAATCAAATTTTAAGTTTGCAGATAAAATGAACCTCCTCACTCTGTGTCCAGTCAAGTGTCAGGCCAAGATGAAGCCTGAGGATGAAGCCAAGATGAGGATATGATAAGGTGCTGCCTGGTCAGGGCTATTGCACACCTCGGAAGGTGGTGATAGATGAACAGGGAGCAATGGTGGAATGATAATTACCAGAGGGAAACCTGGTCTACTGCCATTCCAGCCACCATGAATCTAATGTGAAAAAACTTAGGTCTGAACCTGAGTCCCCATACTGAGAAGACAGGGTCTAACAGCTTGAGCTGTGATGTAGCCAATTTGTACATAAATAAGTTTAATAAACATGGAGATTACAGTCAGCTCACATCTTGTTTCATGTAATCGTTATTCAGTTAATCTAGTATGCAGTCAGATTTAAAGAAATTGGATGGCCCAACATTAATAACGACTCCGACACTGCTTGCAACTGAAGCACAACTGGTTGTCTGCTGCAGTAACATGCAAACGAGAGAAGAGAAATACATAATTTTGTTCAGAAAACCTGAAGAAAAGTGATTATTTTGAAGACCTAGGCAAAGCAGAAGCATAGCATTCAGTGGATCTTAATGAAATAGGGTGGAAGAGTGTGGAAGCTCTTGTGAACATGGCAATGAGCTTTGGATTCCACAAAATGTGGAGAATTTCTTGACTTGCTGAGCAACTTCTCAAAAACAAGTGTAGCTTGTCTTCATGAAATCTGTTCTTTCATTCTTAGGTGCAAGTTACAGAAAATGTGGCTCCAGTCATGCTGTGTGAAATGGTGCATGAAGCCACAGCAGATTTCAAGGTCAGTAACACAGAACTGTGAGGCCATATTCTGCTCAAAAATGCAAAATCTCATGCATCTCACATTCCTGGTTAATTTGTCAAGAAAATCCTATGGCTTATCTCTTTATGTAACTTAGAAACAAATTCAGTGTTTTTTAAAGAAATACTGAACAGCCTCAACCTTACCAACATTTTGGAGGACCCTGTTGCCTCCATCTTGGGAGCAGAAAATGTAGGCAGCAGGTTTCTCCCAAACATTAGTATGCATCTACTGAATTATATGATGCCAGATCCCAGAACATAGTCCTGATGATCACTAAATAATACATTCACAACAAATGTCCTCGTGCGTGAACACACTATTTGGGTCTTGTCCTTATGTTTTGTGGCTGGTGTCCAGTATGTACCTCTGTTCTTCGTGGTTTAGCTGTGTTGAAGCTGTGCACACTGCAGTAACCACGAATGAGTGGGTTGGGGCTTTGTGTTATTTAACAATGCTATAAGTATCTAGACTATACAACACTGAATGGCAGGATGGCAGACAAATACACTGGAAAGAATTGAAACAGAACAGTCATGATTGCCTATGTGAGGTACTATTGTGGGATTTATGGACTGACTAAAACCACGAAGAATCTCACTCAGGATAGTAAGTGGCCCGGTGAGATTCAAAACTGAGCACCTCGCACCACTTGTTCGGTGCCACAAGTGAGTGATGCACCCTACAGTTTCACCCTTAAGCTCCAGCTGTGAAATATGGACCCAAATCACCATACTGGAGATCTCGATCAACACAGTGGACTATTTTTCCCTACTACTCCAGGAATGGTACACCACCTTGAACACTTGAGACTTGAGGTTCTCATGGCAGCTACTACATGGATTACTGTCTTCTGGGATGTCATGCTATGTAGTCTGGTAGACTGCTACTGATGTTTCTAAGGAACCTGCTGGGTCTACCCTACAGATGGAAGCAGGAGGTTCCTCTGAAATGGCAGTAAACTTTTACCAGACTATGTAGCGTCACATTCCAAAAGACAGCACTCTTCAAAACTAAGCTGTTTTCAGTTACTCCATTGCTCTAGTATTATTTCGTTTTACTCTTCCTTTGGGTTAAGAGAGAAGTAAAAATATATGTTGTAATCTTTTTCATGGTGGTAACCCTGCAGCCTGCACTGTTCTTCAGGATTTGCGATGACCAGCAATGGGAATACAGCGGACTCAGTTCTGAGGAGCCCATCTGCTGCCTTGAGGGGCGTCCAACTACTTGCCAATAACATTGTCCAGAACATTGAGAATATAATGTGGATATTTTATAGCAGTTTGTGCCAATTTCTTTTATTTTAATCAATGCAGTTGCAAGTAGAAATACTGTATTTTGTAACGAGACTAGAATATCATCCTGATATGTAATGTACATGTATGTGTCCCCAAAAATGATATGACCATTGGTACAAGAAATGAATTTGTGGTTTTTATTTGTTTACTAGACTGATAACAAATCATTGGATTTGAGGTTATCATAGGTATTACTTTGAAAAGCAGTCTTCTGGGTTGTAATGCTGTGTTATTCAGAGAGAGCCGACAACTAGCAGAAGTTGGCTCAGCTAGTCCCTGCTTCTGCTCTGGTGTTGCTTGGTGATTGAGGTGATATGTTTGTCTAAACTGTTGTGCTGCTGGTGAACCACAAGGGATTACAGGCAAGAACACTGTACTCTTCATAAACATGAATTATTTTGCTAACTACTTTTATGTGACTCGCATTGATAATGGAAGAACAAGTGTTCCTGTTTAAACAATAAGACAAATTTTTAAGTATTTATTTAATTGTTTCAGGAGTCATGATACATGATGAATGACTGGGTTTGATTCCCAGCAAGGTTAAAGATCTTTCATGTAGCCAGTGTCCAGACCAGCTGTGGGGCCTATCCACCCACCTATCCAATGATTACAAGGGCTTCTTCACCAGGGGTACAAATGCTAGGGCACAAAGGTGACCATTCTAATTCATGTGCTAAGATTAAGAATACGTAGACCTATACCTCCACTTCCTCATAATCTTTGTGCCCTGTTGCTTTATTAAGGACAAGTTTACTTTACTATTAACTTCTCCTTACAGAAGACTGACCACTCATGACTGTTCATAATAATTGTGTTGGTTAAATACTGCAGTGTGTGTACATATCACATTATGGGTTCTCAAATTTTGTGCTACCATGGCCCCTACAATAATAAATACATTTATGTGACCCTGAAGCTCTGCCAGTCAATGAAAAGTGTACACTCTCTTGTCAGGCTGCATAGTGACGGCAGAAAACTAAATAACTTTACAGGCTCTCAGCAGCAGCAGTAAGCTATAAACTCTTCCTCTAGAGCCACACGTTTAAAATGTTTTGAAAGCTGCAGCAACATTTTGTGTGAGCATTTAAATGGGAACTGAGCGTTTTGAAACATTTGTCACATCTTAAGGCTGAAGTTAGTGATGTTACTTTACTGCCTCACCCACTGTATGCTTTCATGGCCTAGTGCTAAGCATACAAATAGCTTCTCTTTAACTAAATGGTGAAGGAAATATGGAAGTCAGCAACTCATAACAAATATACAAGAATGTGCAATATGAGTACCACTTTGAATTTGAGGGAGAGTTCAGAGAAGAGTTTGAAAGAGAATTTTACAAGTCTAGACCTATCAACAATTTATGATTTGCAACTGAAAAGAATGACAGGAATGTTGTGGACATCATCATCATACATGCTTACATCATATATGTAAGAACAGGAGAAACTGTTATTTTGGCTTCATAACTTTTTATCATTTTTTAAAGTGAAACCATAAAGTCAGACAATTCACATTATGATAATCACATTTCATAAAGACAAATATACAGTGAAACCTCATTTCACACTACTAAAGGGACCTTATAAAATTGAGGAAAGGGTGAAATAATGGAAATGGTGAAACATACAGAGAAATGTAGGCTGCTTTATACTGTAACTTTGGACAGCATTTTGAAATATATTATTTGAGCACAATAACAACGGAAATATAAATATACTAACATACATTCCATGTAATTTCTTTAAGTGGTCAAACAGATGTTTCTTTCTCTCTTGAGCTCACAGTCTCTGTCATTCTCATGTCAGGTCAAAAAACTTTCATGTGAAGGCATGCCTGTTTTACTGGGACAAACTCTTACATGAAATGGCTCAGGATTTCTTGAATTTCCCAAAGAACATAGTAAATGTAGAATTGGGTATTTTTCCATTGTCAGAACTATAAGAATGCAATGTAAATTTGGGGAAAAATGTAAATCTGAGTGAAAGAAAAACTTGTTAAAATTTAAGATTGTTCTTATGGGTAACCTGGATGGGACTAAATGAAAAAAAGGCATAAAATCTTAAAGAACGTAACATCAGATTGCATAAAATAAAAGATTCATTGTAATTCACTTCTCTGGCTTGTGATGGTAGGTACATGTGTACTGCTTTGCGGGAAAGATCTCAGTATCCACAGCTGTGTCTTTTTCACATAATAACCGTCACTCATAAGAATTTACTTCGGCCACTTGAGAACCGGTCATTCAACAGCTGAGCTTTCTTGAAGATCGCCTTCTTCTGGCCTTCATCAAATCTATTGGCCTGAAGGTCAATATTGCGATCAAATGGCCGTCTCTCTTCAGACTTGCCTTCTTCTTTCTCCTTCTGTAAATTTAAAATGACCAACAAGGATCAGTCTCGCTGGATTGTTCAGGCTCCGAGGTTCGAACAACAATTAGTAAGTCCGTCTTTGTACTGTCTGCCTCTTCTTCCTACACATTTGTGGCATGCCAGTAAAATCTCAGCTTTCATATATCCTTTGTAGGTAGTGCAACTGATTCATTTAACATTGAGACATTTTGTCTAGAATGTTATATAGGTTTAGTTCTTGTCTGATTGATTGGTTTGTTCTGTTCTCCTATAACCTGCAACAGCCCCCATGAGTAGGAGCCTCAGTTCTGCTATCCTGTTGTTCACTTAAGATCTAACCCTTTGTTCCAGAGAACAGAGCACTGTGGGAATGACCATTACTTTATAGAACTTTCATGGAGTTTTTTATCTTGCTGTTACCCAGTGTGCTCCTAATTGTGGTGCACATACATTGGAAATTATTTAATTTCTAATTAAAATCATTAAGATAATTAAGATTTATACTATTCCCCATGTACTTATACACACTGATTTGTTCACCTGGCCTATCATTAAGGGCAATTTAGACTCTTATGTAAACATATAAAACAAAATATAAAATCATTAGTTCAAAAACTAACCTAAGTGACAAACATGCCTCTGCCTTTATATCACTGTGTACCTTTTTCTTCCTCTTCAGCTCCTTCTGGTGTGCCTCCAACAGGGACTCCTGTCTCTTCTTTCCAGAGTGCTTCTCTACAAGATGTTGCATCACCTTATTTCGCTCTTCAGTTGCTGTCTGTTCCAGGTCATCAACAGCACTAGACCTGACCCCCTTGAAACAAATTATGCAGTTGATAAAAAGAATACAAACTTTATCTCATTCAATTTTACTTCATAGCAGACACATTTAAGCCTTCTATGCCATTGTTAGTGTTCACTATGTAAGTGGCTATCAAGCAGCCTTATATTTCCTTCTCCTTCCCCTTTCAGCATTGTTTCTATTTCATATGGGTCAACGCAGAAAAAGTCTTAAGGATCTTTGTCTCCAGGTTCTTTCGTTTTTGATGTCTTGCCATCTCCTTCCACTCTTCCTCCTGTCTTCCAGTACTGGGCTAAACCATCTTGTTCTGGGTCACTTCATGCATCTTTCCTTTAATTTCTAATACTACTGCACTCCATGGTGTCCTACTTCGATCCAGTCCTTTAACATGGCCACTGAGCTGGATGGTGTAGTGGTAACACCCTAGACATGTAATTGGGAAGTGCTTGGTTTGAATTTGAACTGGGATACGGGCTGTAATGATTGAGAATTTTGTGGTTTTATTCAGACACTCCAGCAAATATCAGGACAGTAATTCATTTAGGCTAAAACTTCTTCCTTTGAGGTTCTTTCCAATTTATTATTCACCAATCACCCAATCATCTAGCACTATATATTATAGATAATGACAGTGATGTAAAGATAAAAAGAAAATTACATGACAAAACCACTGAAATCATTTATATTTGAATGCTATCAGCAAATTTTGAATTCTGACTTTTCTAAAAAATGTTATTTATAATTCTATTACTTTCATCTTCCTTCAAGTACTTCTCCAAAATTTCATTTCCATTGCTGGGATTTCTCTTTTGTTAATGTTTTTCTGCTATGAAACTGTCGTTGGAACTGTAGCATATCACAACAGCCCAATAAGCATAAATTTAAGTATATTATACGACTCAGTGACAGTTACTTGCATAGTGAACACAGATGGCAGATAATATGAAAAACTGAAATTCGTCTGCTGAGCAATTATATGCAATAAATGTGATAAAGGTAGATGACTTCTAATGCAGTAAAGCAAATAACAATGAAACTGTTTTGGTTAAAATTATATGTATATATATATATATGACTAGAAAATCAGAAAGTGATTCTGAAATATTTCACACACATTTGAATATCAGCAACCAATGTCTTTCTTTAACTCACAATTATGAACACTGAGTGACAGAGAGAGAGAGAGAGACATACTGGTGACAGTTTCTTCTGGAGACGATCAGCAGGTGTGTCTGTCCACACGGAACGATCACCTAGTTCTGGCTTAGCCCTAGCTCGAAACTGTCTTGGCCCCAATCCAAAGTCAGCTTCTCGATCAGGTGGTAATTCTAACATCCAACTTTCACGTTTCATTGTTCCAGAGCTATGACTATTACCCTGGTAAACATATTGCAAATTGGAATGTGAGGTTCTCAAAGCATTGATTATGTACAGTCTTCTAGCATGTGCTGCAGTGCAGTATGCAGGAAGTCTTGATGTTCTAGACCAAACACACTGACTCCATTTTTGGGGTCCACACCCATATGATTCTGGCTCCTCATAAGTATGCTTTCCTGACAACTCAACCCACAATCTGTCAATTTATTGAATGTCAGTGATAAACTGTGTCTGAAACATTTTAGAGGGTGCATAATCATCATTAGAAAGTTGCTAGATCCTATTTTCAACGCTTGATGGGAACCAAACACACCGCCATGCTAGAGTTACCAATGGACACACTAGACTTTTCTTCCATAACATTTGCTACTGACATACCCCCTAAAATGTTTTAGACAGGCAGTAACTAGGTACCTGAGGCCAAATGAACATTTTTCAATATACATCTTTCACCTTATCTTACTGAAGTGAACCTGAAAACCTTCAGCAGTATTTTGGACATATGCATACAGGCTCCCAAGATGTAACTATGAGAGAAATTAAATGCATGTTAAAAATCTGTTTAAAACTCATGATCTGAATTATCATGTTAAATTGAAATATTATCTATGAACTATCTTCAGAGAAAACTCAAACTGCAGTGAAACCTCACTAATCTGGAATTTGCAATAATTCTGAAAACAAGTTTTAATAAACACGTTATGACCTTGATGATCACACTGCTACGATCACCAATATGAAAAAGAACGGCACAAACAAGGGACACAAAACATGGTCTCAATAACACTAGTATGTAGGCTACCTAAAGTGTTTTCTCAATGATACTAAGTACTACCTAAAATGTTTTTAAGATTGATACAAAAACTTACATTTTTACATTTTATGATATGGAATTGTAAGTTTCAAAACAAAGTTGTATTGTCTAAAAAAAGACACATGGAGTCCATTTTATAACTTCCTTGAACATATTTTCAGTAGCACTTGTACAATTCAGGCTTTCTCTAATTTGGATGAGGGTTCGCTCCCAATTAGTCCGAATTGGTGAGGTTTTACTGGAGTTTGTTACACATCTTAAATACCTGTGGACAGAAGTCACTAATTAAAATAACGGCCTTCCAGGACATAAAACTCACAATAGTGATACCACCACGAGAACCTCAAATCTCACAAAATGTGCTAGTCATTATTGGTACTCATACTAACAAGCAATTTATCACAGACTGGATGGGATTTTCAGTGTCTATATGACAATGCTGTCTGCCCTAAAGCACTCAGTACCATGATTAAAACAGAGACACTATGTAGGGTGAAGGTCTTGAATGAAGGATGATGTATCCTAAACTTACCTCTCCCACTAATTTTCTCTTCATCCTTAGTGCCCTGTCATCAAATTGATCCTGACAATAAGTACCACTGCTGGCTCCTTCAGGAGCAGGCATAGGTCCGAAAACATCACTTTCACTGTCAGAATTCGCTTCATCTACAGACTCTTCAAATTTCACCCCAGGAGGCAGATGTGGTCCCAATATTCCTCGTGCAGTTAGAACATTACTGGATCGATTTAAATCCACCCTTAAACCTGGAGGCAATGCAGGGCCATACATTTCATCTCGTGGATCAATACTGGAAGCTTCCTCATCTGCATCACAATTCGGTACCGAGTTGTCAATGTTTTCATCGTTTTCTTTTGAAAGGGGCAGAATGGAAGTCATGTCACTACTCCATGATTCAAGATTTCCCATTTTTGCTCCCTCTTTAAGATGAGGGGGTAATGCTGGACCTATTGAGGCACCTGCATCAGAACATTGTGCACGTAGGTGGGGTAGCAATGAGGGACCAATTTCAGGAGCTTGGACAGTTCCTTCCTCTGCAAGGTCTGCCACAGGACAGTCTACTCTCTGGATTAACCCTGGTGGTAATGAAGGACCAATAACAGTGTCACTTTCCCCTTCTTGTCCCATCTGACTCTCATTTGATTTCAACATTACACAACTTTCACCAGATTCCACTTCCCTCTGTAGATGAGGAAAGGTTGGCCCAATAAAGTTAGACATCTTTGACACTAGAATGATACAAACACAAACTATAAATATTAACACCTTTATTTCAACTACTTATTCTTACAAATACTAGATTTACTTATTTAATAAACTGTCCACAGATATCAAGAACACATCTAATAATTTTAAAAAGTTTAAGGTTGTATTAAGGCATTTCTTGAACACTCATACATTTTATACTGTGGATGAATAACTAAATAGATAACTTTTATTATTGTTGTATTCACTGTATTGTCTAGTTGTGTAGTAACTATGTATGTATTCTATGCTCTATATTATTTTATGACATGCTCTATATACATCTTTGGATCTCTTGAACTTGCAATAAATACAAATACACTAAATGCTACTATGACTTAATCATTTTCACAATCTTCTTTCCACCATACTGAAAAGATTTAACTATGCCAGCAGTAAGAATTCCCTTCAGACTCTGACGAATACTTGAAGGCCAGACAATATTCTTGATGCATTCCAACAGGGACAAGCCACAATCTGGATCATATGCAATAGCTCTGAGAGCATCTTCTGTGTCCTGACGAAGTCCACTGTCTCGGTTCCAGAGGCGAACCATTGCCCTCTGAGGGGCTCTTGGAAGCTGGTACAAGTGGTGGATACATGATTCAGGACTGGTATCTTGTGAACACAACCCAGATTCCTTTGACATTTCTAAGAAGTTAGACAAGGTCTTTATAACTGGATAATACAATTCCCTAAATGCTTCCATCTGTGGCTCAACAATTTTTTGCACTTTTTCTTTGTCCTCACCAAATATCATGCGGAAATCACCAGCATAAGAAAGGGTGCTGATAGTGGTGTACAACTCACACTCACTGAAACTTTCAGGTAGCATCAATAATGCAGTGTGCACGGCACTATGGAGGTTCAACTGAAGTGCAGTGCGAAGCTCAGAGTTACTAGTTTTGCGAATAACTTCTACTGGTTTATGAAGTCGACCTGCTAAATACAGATCACTCCAATCTAACAGATCAGTTACAAGGGCTGATCGCGAAACAACACCGTATTTTATTGTCACCCCTTCTTCTTTTATAGGAACTAGAGTGTTGAAATACACCTTAGCAGCCCAATTCTGCACACGGGCCACAACGTTATGACCTAACCAACACAATGATGAATAATGATGTGGATTACGACTAATATTTTCTTTGTGCCATGCAACTGGATCTTCAACTGTGAAAATCATATCTATCATATTCTTGGTAATATCGGAGCCTGATTGTCTGAACACTCCAGATCCATATGCAAAGCAAAATGAAAAATGTTGTGGAAATGTAGAATGCAATATCTTGCTGCAAAGAGATTGACAACTAACAACGCCTTTACTTCCTGCCATAGTTCCCGCTTACTATTACTATATGCATAGACTAATAAAATTAAGACATTTGCAGGATGTATTTTTAGCAACTCATTTGCTATTCAGAAATCAGCAAATTCAAATAATCCGGACTGTCGTGTTTAACCTCTCACATACGTTTAACTCCACAGCTCAGTCGCCGAATTAAATATTTTATCCGATCGATGTCGATTACTGATAACGCTGATAACACTGGTGGTGGAGCGCCATTTACATCGATGTCTGCTGTCATCTATGAGCAGCGTCCACACTGATCTCAGTTTTATTCCGATCACAATATGTATTCGTATCAAATATGATTAGACCGATTAGACCAACTATAGACGATTACAGAGCTTTACAGAAATTATACATCCCTAAACGAAACAGAGGTGATGCCTGTGTTCAGGTAGATTTTTGCGCTTGGAAATAATTGCAAATAGTTCACAACCTACGGCTTATTCTCTGTTGGATGCTAAGTTTTGATTTTGATTTGCCTTCGATATAAATCGAGAAATATTTACGCACGAAGTTAGATTTTCATGTCGAACTTGTTATTTGTACGTATATGTATATATAAATCTCGCGCCAACCACATTGCGTGGAATTGGAAATGTACAGAATTCTCTCAAGTAAAAACATTTATGTGGTTATGACATTCTCTTTGAATTATTTCAGTCCTCCGTGTAGTACATAAGTATGTCGTTAAATCATATTTATAATAACTGCATGGAAGTAAGTCTTTGTATTTGTGATATGACATGCTCTGTGTACTCTTGTTTAACCCAAAGGGATCTGTAAAATGTAAAGAAACTAGATTTATTGATTGATTGATTGATTTACGCGGCCTTAGAATAATGATATTGATAGCTAATGTAATGTTCTCAGCAGATTGGTTCCCTTCTTGATGGCCTGGTATTCTCGATCTCTCTCTAAGCGGCCTACGTAGACGTCCCTCCATCTCATGATGTCCTTTCTATCCCATCCAACATGGTGTCTTGATTCCTTTAAGCAGAAGAGAACTGCGCAGTATACCTTCATAGCATGCTGGTATAAGCTCAACAAGTCACTTATTCTTGAATTATCTGGTAATATTGATGTTAACTAGGATTTATCCCCAAACAAGAAGAATTCATCTATACTATAAAAACAATGTTCAAGTAGAAATGTTTTCAAAGTCTTTTTAAATTTGTATAGTGCTGGTATGTCCTTTATATATTGCGGCAAGTGGTTTAAAAGACGAAGTCCAATATTATTGAAGTTGTTTTTACACAGACTCGTCCTACATGGAACTATGAATAAGTTGTCTTTTTTTCTTGTATTGTGTGAGTGTACTGCTGAATTAGTGATGAAAACATTCAAGTTGGATTTCATGTAAACTAATATTTCATATATATACAGACTTGGTAGAGGTAATATATGTAACAATTTAAAATATTGTTTGCAGCTGGTTGTTTTTTGTATTTGCATTATAGTTCTAATAGCTCTCTTTTGTATCTTAAAGATCAATTTTGCATTCGCTGAATTGCCCCAGAATATCAATCCATATGATAGCAGGGATTGAAAATACGCATAGTATAAAGCAAGAACAGTCTCTAATCCTGATACTTTTTTGACTATTCGCAAGCCAAAACATATTTTACATAACTTACTTGCTAGTGTTTGAGTATGTGTGGACCAGCTTAATTTTTTGTCTAACGACATTCCCAAAAATTTGGTATGTTCTGTATAATTGATGACTTTATCATATAGTTTTATTGGTGGGCATTCTGGCTGTATTTTTTGTGGTTGGTGAAAGGATATTGCTATCGTTTTTTCTTTATTAATAATTAATCTGTTACTTTCAAACCATTCTGTGAGTTTATTTATTAATGCGTTTATTTTCCTTTGGACAACATTAACACTATTTCCTGATATAAAAATACTTATATCATCGGCAAAAAACGTTAGTTTTCCTTGTTCAATACCTGCTTCTAGATCATTAATATATAGCAAAAATAAAATTGGTCCAAGAACAGAACCTTGTGGGACTCCATGTCTTACGGGTCTACTCTGAGATAGATAGTTAATGCTTACATTCGCTTCTCTACATCTATATGTGATTTCCACTTTCTGTTCTCTTCTTTCTAGATATGTTTGAAACCATTTTAGTGCAACCCCTCGTATTCCCATTCTTGTCATCTTTCTTAGCAATATGTCATGATTAACTAGGTCAAACGCTTTTGACAGATCCAGAAATAACCCTATACTTACTTCTTTCTCATCTAGCGATTTATAGACCCCTTCTATGAACTCTGCAATTGCTGTTTTTGTTGTTTTTCCTTTGCAAAACCCATGCTGTTTGTTACTAATTAAACTGTGGTTATTTAAAAAGGATAAAAGTCTTTTATGCATAATTTTTTCAATTATTTTTGAAAAAACAGAAATTAGTGATACTGGTCTATAATTCGCAACATCCGTTTCGCTTCCTTTCTTATACAAGGGTTTCACTTTTGCCATTTTTAGCTGGTCAGGGAAGTATCCGGTTGAGAGTGACTGATTTATTGTATATGTTAAGGCAGATATTATCTTGGGATAACATTTTTTGATGATATACTCTGGGATGTCATCTATACCTGTTGATTTTTTGTTACCAAGTCTTTTGATTATGCCAACCACTTCCTCTTCAGTAGTTGGGATTAAGAACATACTGTTGTTGTTATACTTTACTGCATTGTCATTAGCTTCTTTGTTTGTATATAATGATTTGTCGTTTAAGATTTTGTGTGCAATGCTAGTATAATATTCATTGAAAACATTTGCTATAATTTTTGGATCCTGTGTATTTCCTCCTTCAGTGTTTATTTCAATATTTTTATTTTTTTTCCGACTGCCTAGCTCCTCCTTTATTAGGTCCCACATAGCCTTTGGTTTATTTCCGGAAGTTCTTATTTGTATGTTATTAGATAATTTTTTTGCTTCACTGATCACTTTGTTATAAATTTTCTTGTACTGACCATAGTATTTTTTAAATTCTTCTGATATATTCCCTTCTTTCATTAGCCTATTAAGAAATCGAAGTCTATTTCCTGATACCCTTATACCTGAGGTAATCCATTTGTTTTCATGCTGTTTACTTTTTACCCATTTTTTTGGTATTGCTATTTCATAATAATACTGAAAAGTATCTAGAAATTCATTATATGCATTGTTCGCTGATTTTTGTTTAAAAACAAGCTCCCAAGTCTCTTTGTCTAGTAGATAATTTAGATATTGAACATTTTCTTCACTATAAGTTCTGACCATTCTATATTCTCTCTCTGCCCTGGCTTGCCTTTTTTGATTCTTATTCTCTTGCTGCATCTGTACTTGTAATATCTGTGCGCTATGGTCAGAAAATCCTGTTTCAATAACCTCAAATTTATATTCCCATAAACCCTTGTTTAATATTATTTGATCTATGGCCGTTTGACTTCTGGAACTGATTCTCGTTGGAACATCCACTATTGCTTCCAAGCCGTATGAATTTATCATTGTCTGTAGTTGTAAGTTTACCCTGTTTCCTAAGAAATCTATATTGAAGTCACCTACCATAATAATTTTCTTATCTTTATTTAGTAACTCATTTATTATTATATCCATAGTTTCAATAAATATATTGATGTTACTGTTAGGAGTTCTGTATACACACATAATAACTGTATTGGATTGAGTGAGTTCAATTATACTAGTCTCAAAATGTTCTTCTCGTGTATAGTGTTCAAACAATTTACAAGGTTTTGCTTCTAGATTTTCTTTGACATAGATGCATGAGCCTCCATGTCGTTTATTTTTCCTGCAAAATTTTGAAACCAGGGAGTAGTTTACAAAATTATAGTAATCTATTTCCTTTTCATCTAACCAATGTTCAGTGATGCATAGTATATCTAACTCTAGTGTTTTATCAGTTAGTAACACATCGATATTTAGTTTTTTGTTTTTTAGACTTTGCACGTTTTGATGAAATATTTGAATATTAGTATTGTATTTATTATTAGAACTGTACCATGACTGTATTACAGTTTTTGTATTGCTTCTTCCAGTACAAAGTGGAATGCAGAAAGATATGCTCTGCCTTGGAGTGATACTCAACCCACAGGTAGAAAGAATTAAAATTCTTCAACTTTCCCAGGGATGTAGGATGGTATGTTTTCATTCATGATGTAATGGCTTCATTATGTGGTGCTTAATCGTTATCACTTCTGTTACAATTGTGATAATGGAATTCCTATGGAAGTGATCACATTGATTCAGTTTCCTAACTAAAAGTAGTCGATAACAGCACTATTAAATGTACTTATAGATTGAAGAAGGTCTTTAGAGTCCATGAAGCCCACTTTCCTATTACATATTTCTAGCCCTAAAATTTTTTTGTTGTTAATATATTTAAATATTGTAAATTTATAATCCAACCAAAAAATGAAGTTCAGTCTTATGTCTGCATTAAATTTCTTAGACATGACACCACTATTCAGTACCTTCATCATGTTTGTAATATTTACTCATGAATTATTGTTGGCTTTAGAGACGATATGTTCTACTCTTACAGGGCTGTGATGTGGGTGTGAAAAGTTGGGATATCATGCACTGTTGATTCTGCTAGAATGCTGCACAATAAATATTTGTGCAGGGGACATTTCTTGGAAAGTGATTTCACTGAGGCTGAAAGGTTACACCTGAACAGAGTGGCAGTTCCGTGTGGCCCAGATTCATTTCATTATGAACCCCTTCCTTGAATCGCTTGCCTTCAGTTTAATTCCTGAATATGATATTCATGTCCTGCCTCCCACCAGAACTTACTGCAAGACATTGGTGTCCTCCACTGTAATACCAATTCCTGTCCATGCAGACAGTCCTACTTCCTTTAAAATGACTGCAGTCCTACCGTGTCCTATATCATGTACAATGATCTACAGTGATGAAATCAATCAATCAGTCATCACAAACAGGTTTAGTCTGTGTTATTCCATTCTCAGTTACATTTGTAAACATGAGTATATTTCAGATTAATAAGGTTCCTTATATTACTTCATTATTTTATTACTTTGATTACACTATTCCATTCAGTATTAAACTTACAAACATGTAAATTTACAATATTATATTTAAGCATCCTGTTGCACTCCATACGATAAATGATATAATGATACAAATTCCGTCCCAAGGGCAACAATATATTATGTGTCCTTGATCTTGTTCCTCTACACTACATGTTTTGGCCTCAGACGGCCATCATCAGGTGTATAACAGTCACGTTGCTGTCACACTGCACCCAGCCCAAAATTTAACATTTAAAACACTTTCCTTGTTATTATCAACATCTACTTTGTTGATATCTGTCTGGTTTGTAGATTATTTTACACACGTTAATTTTGACGTACCTGTAGTAGCACTATAAAATCTTTAGTTCTAATTTTAAAATCCTTT